GAGCTCGCTGGGATCAGTCTTCTTGCCTACATCTGCAAGTCTTCGCAAACTAGCTGAAGAATCTCCTTACACCCGTAAGGTGAATTTTGCAGTTACCTAGTTGGCCAGATTGAGTCAAGTAAATATGCAGACACAGGTCTTGTATGAATCTCTCAGTAACACAACATGCACCCATGGTTCGAGATACCAGAGTTCTAGCTAGTAATGCTTGTTGTCTGATTTGGCAAAGGGTCCTGGAGTTAAATGCTCCAATATGAAATTGGTGGCATGGCTTTAAGGGACTATTAGGAGTACTTTTTCTGGCTCTCACAGAATCAAAGGAAGATGGCAAATCCATACTAAGATTTCTGGCTTTCCCGAACATTGGATAATAAAATCGAAACGATGTTAGATTTCCGGTTCATTGTCATGACATGCTGACATCAGTCAAAGAAACATTGAAAATCAAGGTTGGTGGTAGTAATAAATTGCGGATTAATGGAAGTTGAAGTTGCCTCATAAGCTGAAAGTGATAATTTCGACCCCTGATGGAATCATGGATGTCTACTGCTGAATGCTTTTCAATAATTTTCTAAATAATAATAGCAAAAGCTGGTGCGTCGGTGGTATAGCGGTTAGGACGCTCGCCGACCATGCATATGGTCCGGGGTTCGATCCTCGGCCGGCGCACTCCTTTACCTCACTGAGCCAGAAATAATGCTGGTAAAGAGAGAAGGTTGGGCATGAGGCTAGCAACCCCATCCTGCAAAAAGAAACACTGCTACAGAAACTTCAAGCCACCAGCTTGGAGCCCTATGTTCCACTGGGAACGTGAAGGAAAAATTATTATTATTCATAGCAAAAGCTACATTGAGATTCACATTAATTTCATAGCATAATATCAGCTCTATCACTAAAAAACTAAGACTTGACTTTCCATTATCATTAGCAGAGCATAAGCTAAATTTACGAAATACAACAATTATATATTCTGATAGGCTGTCAAGCTGTTTCACCTCATTTTTTATACTCATCTCAAAAGAGACGCTTGTCACTAAAAGACTTTTTTCCTAATATTTTCACTGAATCGACGCGATCTGATTAAATCTTCCAACTCTAGTGAATTTCATGATATTAACAGAAAATTGTATGATTAATTTTATTATTTTCAGTGATAATTAGATGCTTATTTGAATAATTCTAAACTCTTCCTTGTTGAAATAAGAATGATCAATGTATTCTAAAGAATATTCAATGTCAAATATCTATACGAAATATTGCACTTAATTAAAAAGTATCTACCAGTATAAATGACAATCCCCAATGTCAGTGAAAGCGATACTGATTTAAAAATATGATACAGTACAGAAAGACAGTGAAACAAAAAAAGTTTTAAAAAAAACCCATCGACAGTCAAAGTACTAAATTACTCCTTCAGTTTTATAATATACTGGTTTTGCTAATGAACTACTGCTGTGATGTATATAAACTTATCCTGAAGGCTAATCTTATATATTTCATACACACTATTTCAATTGTTTGTCGCACATATAACTCACATCACATGATTGTTTCCTATTGATTCTGCCTTCCAAAATGAATCACTAATTCCCTCGTGTCATCTCAGTGGTCACAGTATTCATTTCTAGGCTGATGCGAAACTTGTGAAGACAAATTTAACGAAGACTATTTGTTCTTCTATGTTTGTGATGATGACGTCACCAGCTGATGGCTAGTGACACTGGCTCCTTACCATAGATTTCATTATCAGGATACTAGAATGCAGAGACTAACACATATATATAATACGACAAATTCCGCATGTAGAGAAGAATATGAGGCTGAAACTCAAAAGAGACGAATGCATGCAGTTCAATACCAAAGGAAATGCCGCATTTGAATCCGGACTTCAGGGGAGACTTAGCGGCAGATATCCTAAAGAGGGGAACCTCTACCTTCCTAAAAACCTTTCTTTCAGAGACGCCCACTGATTATGAGCATTGTGAAGAATACACTTCCGCATAAGACCATTCCTATGTGCATGCATCAGTTCACCTACTCCTGTGGAGCTGGGTAAATCGGTCGTTCTATGCGCGTCCTTTCAAAACGTGTTACAGAACGGCTACAAACAGACGATACTCGCTCAATCAGAAGCGCTATAATTGAAGACCTGGTCAGCACTTGTCACAGCATCTCAACTGACTCACTATTCAGGGTCATTTACACAGTGAACAAAAATCTACCAATGCTTTTTACTGTAGAAGCCGTTGCTATATGCATCGAATAGCTGCAGCTATTATGTCCAAAGGAAACTAGTCCAACCTCTGCGTTTACCGTGGATCTATTTCTGTTTGACTCTTTAGTTTTTACTTTTTTGTCCTTTCATTACTTTCCTTTCTCCATCTTCAGTTATAAAAAAAGCTATTATTTCAATTTGCCTCTATGCACATCACGTTCACTCGTGCCTTCGTGAAAAACTACTTTACATTTTACGAAACTAATTTCCAATTCTATGCAATTTTGTTTCAATGCCCCCTGTGATCTGCACTAACACCTGCAATTTTTATATCTAGCTGCAAATTATTATCTTCTTTAATCCCTTTCGTTACTACGCTGAATTAAATAATAATTATAAATATGTAAACTTATATATGCAAATGCGATTGTACAACTTTTCTGTGAGTGAAATCGCAGAGACGATAAATTCGCTCAGCTGCTTGTTGTTTCCTGTGGAATGTCCTAATGGCTATTGTTCACAATATAAGGAAGACTTTACATTGCTGAATGCATCTCATAGTTATACGTGCAACAGTTTATAAAGGAAGATAAATTAAAGAAATACATCTTGCAGCATATTTCAGAGATTCAGCTGATCACCTAGTTTATACCAAACTATGCTGACAGAATCCTTTATGACAGTTAGTTAAGGAGCCCTACATCTGCCTTAAATTACTAAATACGCCAATATTCGGTGGGTAAAATCTAACTCGTGCACTGAATAGCAATGGAGTATTACTTCCTCTTATACCTGGAAATTGACATTTCTTCTTTTCGAAGAAAATACGATAAACCTAATGTTTTTCTTCTTATCTGATTCCTATTTTATTTATATTATTATTATTGTATCCTTTACTTCCTAGAGGAACATAGGGCTTCAGCTGCGCACCTCCACTGCCTTCGGTTTTCTGACAACTTTTTCACCCTGCTCCAGGTATGTCCACATGCTTTCATCTCCTCCTCGCATGACCTCCTCCAAGTCACCCTTGGACGACCAACTCGCCGCCTCCCTTTCGGGTTCCACTCGAGGGCTTGTCTAGTGATGTCACCTGATGGTTTCCTCAGCGTATGGCCAATCCATCTCCATTTCTTCCTGCCTATTTGTTTCACAATCGGTTCCTGATTGGTCCGCTCATTGCCAAAGATCCCTGTTGCTGATATTTTCTGGCCATCTGATAACCTTATTAACGTGCGTCGGTGACATAGCGGATAGCACGCTCGCTGACGATGCATATGGTTCGGGGTTCGATCCCAGGCCGACTCACTCCTTTACCTTGCTAAGCCAGAAATAATGCTGGTAAAGAGAGAAGGTTGGGCATGAGGCTAGCAACCCCATCCTGTAAAAATAAACACTGCTACAGAAACTTCAAGCCACTAGCTTGGAGCCCTATATTCTACTTGTAACGTGAAGGAAAAAAAACCTTAGTAACACTGAATCTGACATTCATACGCCGCGACTACGTCATTGTCTTTCTTTATTAACGCACATTGATGTGTTTCTTGGCTTATAAGAGTAGAATTCGGGCATTGTGGTAGACTGAAATTCTACATTAGATAAGTCTATCTGATATAACAATCCGCGGTGTAGAATTAGTAACTGGATGACATATCGAGCACGTCTTCCTAACTTGCTTTACATAGGCATACCTCTTTCTATTTGTCATTAATCGTGGAAAAGTGTCAAGAGGAACAAGAGGGTGCCAGGCTTTCAAGTTGTGTGAATACATTCATATGAGCAGTAAATCGTGTTGTCCCACTCTGTGTGTCTTCTATCAAATAAACGTATTCACAGAGAACCTACGGTTTAAATTTGAAACGCTTCCAACTAGATAAATTTTGTCTGTGTTGGTGGACTCTTTTGATTTTCCTCTTAATTATACTTACTTACTTTACTTTACTTCGGCTATCTCCTACGGGAGGATGAGCCGGCTTCATGAACGTCTCGAATCATCGCTGCCCAGGCGCGGCAATTTGTAAGAGAGTTCATGTAGTTTCATGGGAATTTGGTACGAGTGATGTCCCCAGCATCGCTCGGCCTTTTGTTTGAGAGTGCAGCTCTAGCCTTTACACAGCCAAGTGTGACCTACAAGGCAGTAGGAGTGGAGTAAGGAGTCCACTATCCATTGGAAGCCGGTGACCGGAGTTCGGTTCATACGCCTTTTTGAATGGGGCCAGACATCCAGGACATCCAACAAGCCCTTTGTCCATACGTCTGCCGGTGAGCTCCAGTGAGCTTCATACGCCAGTCGTTGGAGGTTTGGAATCAGGGTTTAGCCATCTCCCCTAGACTGTCATCCAATGGACAGTCAACCCGGTGGAGAGCGCCGGGCATCCGCTTTCGCCCTCTCACTTTGGTGAGAAACACCTCCGCCACGTGAAGGCAGTGAGTAGGACTTCCTCAGGAGAGGCTATGTAAGACGCCCGGTCATATGGGAGCATTTCAGGAGGTGTGCGGAGGGGTGGCCAACCCGCAGCGCAAGGCACCCACCCCCGACCATCCTGAGGCTTTGGAGGAACAGTTGAGTCTAATTGGAGTTTCCTAGTGGGATATTCAAATCCATCCGTGAAATTATTCTTAGAGTAAAACAGTAAAAAATTCCTATTCACGACGTTCTTATATTATATATAAAAAGACGAAGAATACAAATATTTTAAACAAAAAAATACACTGGATTCTTTTTTCTTTGTTCAAAGAAAGTATGTAGGTGATACTGGTCATTCTTTGCATTTTTCCTTCTTTGCTTTTACTTCAATGAATTCACCAATTGAACACTATACTGTCTTGTAAACACTCCAACTGGTACAGCTGGTCCACACCAACTATCCACGTCAAGAACCTTTTCTGTCTGTAGGCCTTTTATTGAACACAGTGATTGTAAATGATGATCAGCTTGTTCAATTACTGCTAACGTGATGCGTAGAAGACTCTGTATTAGAGATAAATGAAAAGAGAAACACAAATATCGGGGGATTTGTTTGCTTTTCACTTGAAAATACTATAAAAAGAAGTGTTCAATTAGACTGGGGGAAAATAAAGGAGATGTAGAAATATCATGTAGATGGACAGACACAAATAAGATGAGATTAGGCAACTACCCGGCTTATCGTATGCATGTCTTTATGTTACACGCTTCATGGCACTCTAATACAAGGTAATCGAAATGAAACAAGTTGTAAAGTACATTAAGAAGGAAAAGAAACAATTAACTACAATTCAATGGTCACATTTCAGGTTGTTGTGTTCTTTTTTCAACAATCTATCAATTACATTAGTTTTTTTTAAAGTCAAAAAGAGCGCTTGTTATGTGGAAAACTATTTGAACTCGTCATCTACTGATGGGGAAAAAACAACAGTCACCTACGATAATGGGGGTTACGATTTCACAACCGATGGCATACTGATTATTGTCTTAATCGAAGGCATAGATACAATCACAGAGATTATGGTCAATTCCCAGAATACGCTTCCAACCAATATTAAAAATACTACATCCCAATGTGAGAAAATACTGGTAAATATACATTTAAAACAAGAAAAAGGGATTATCCAAACAATGAATAAGGCATGCAGACAAACTCTTAGATAATGATAAAAGAGATCAAAGAACGAATTACGGGAAATCAAAAAAGAAAAGTATTTTAAGCCTGAATTATTATTTGTGTATGTCAGTGTATACTTTATCCAAGGCAGTCTATCATCTCATAATTTCTAAACCTCCACCCCATACCTACTAAGAATTCGGAGGTTAGGTAACACTATTAGATTTCACAAAGTAAATGTGTGTTACCTAGATTAGGATACCGAATAAATAAGTCTGGAAAACACTAGACGTATGCGTCATATTGAAAACCCAGTAGGGGTGTATTACAGGTCTGTACGACAAAGATTTTGTTAGTTCGTACATATTTAATTTTGTATTGTACATTTGTATTGTATTGTAATCAACATTACACATCATAAATGACCAAAAATATCAGATGGAAGTGTAATTTGATTCCCTTACAACAAATCCTGTCAAAACTGGAAATGTATATCAGTTCACATCGCACTACTTCAAAAAACCACACATTAAAAGCACGAAAAGGAAATGTAATAAAAACACTGTGGATATAGAAGCATAGAAAAGACAGTGATTGAATCAACATTAATAAAGCTTTTCATAATCTGATACATCGTTCATATATCTATACAGTTACAGATGACTTTAAGGCATAGCTCCAAGTCTATACACATTAGTTCATAGCATCCCAAGAACTTCATAAAAACAATCTACACCATCCCCACTACATAGCTCACAGAAGTGTTCAATCCCTTCATGAATTAGTGGCATGCTTCAGCATCTCAACATAAGGAATAAGATTCGCATTTTCAACACCAATGTCAAATTGGTCCTTTTATTCGGGTCAGAAACGAAAAGGATTACCAACAAGTCACAAACAGCTGCCTTCTCTGCCTTCATAGTGAAGATCAAATGCCTGGCCGGCCAGAAAGAATTAGCAACAAAAATTCCTAAGGTGACATGGAGGAGACAATGTTAGGAAGAGGAGATGAGAGACAATGGGTAATCGTGGACCCAGATGAAGTGAATGGTAGAAAATAGAATAAAGTGGATGCGTTGTTGAAGCACTATGTTCCACTCGGGACCCATGATCAGAATTTTTAGGCAGCTGCATTTTGTGGCAGCCTTCACCTGGAAGGGTTATTATAATCTGAGTGTATTCTACAACAATAACTTCTTTCTCTACCAGTAGGTCAAACCTTAAAATACCTTGATCAGTCCAATACAAATACATCAACAAAAGGAATATATAAATACTTTAAGAAATCTGAAGAAGTTAATTATCTTTTCAAAAAGCAGTCGACAATAATTTACCTCTTTAGACGAATCTTTTTGTGAACAAAGATGGGTAAATAATAAATCGATTAGCAAACGCGGTTCGCAAAATAGATTATAAGCCTCTCGTTCATATAGTATATTTCTATAATTAAAATGAGAGAGAAAACAACAGACATGCATTAAGGAATGTATGCAATTTGTGATGAACAGAATTATTATTATTATTTGTTGATAATTCATAATGATATAAAGTGATACAAAGCGCAAAAGTTAAATTCACCAGACAATGAACCATAACATTACTAAAGCACTGGTAAGTGGAGTTTATATACAAAACATCATGATTTCCCACACTGTGTGGTCGTGGAAAACAAACAACTACTACAGGTGCTCACTTAACTAAAAATATCACCCCCATTGCGTTCTCCAACTCTGGGTACAATCACCACATGAGATCCGTTAGTGTTAGACGTAAGTATATGAGTAGAGATATAAGTAAAAAAAGGAATAAAGTTTCACAAACTTAATAGGCTTCAGGGTATTTTCATATTAGATAAGTTTATTTTAAATATCACACAGTGATTCAGTGTTAACAACTGAATGACAAGGTTTCGAGCATACATTATTACCACTCATAATCATATCAATTTTAATCACACTATTTCACAATTTTTCTTATACATATATTTTCTCTTTTTCTGTCGCTCTAACTTCCCTTTGTTGTTTATTGCCACTCTCCATATCTCCTGTACAGGCGTTACATCATTCCAATTTCACATGTACGATGTTGAATCGATAAACAAAGATTCAGCGATTAACCTCTCTTTCCATCTAACCATATTACTTTTTAATACAATCATTCTGTCCCACCCACCTTATTTTGTGATTACATGCAAGTGAATACAATCCATTAGTCGACCTTTCTTCTAGGTAATTTAACTTAGCATGGTCAATTATTCTATGTCTAGCTACATTTTTATGTTCCAAAAATCCAATTGACCCCGACCTACTAGTTTGACTGACCTATGTAATCGACTTCACAGTCATTACATTTTTTTCTTCACGTTCCCAGTGGAACATAGGGCCTCGAGCTAGTGGCTTGAAGTTTCTGTAGCAGTGCTAATTTTACAGTCATTACATGGTATTTGGTAAAATACATATTTTTTTATTCCTTTACGTTCCCAGCGGAACATAGGGCTTCAAAATAGAGCTTCGAAGTTCTGGTAGCAGTGGTTCTTGTTTTTACGGGATGGGTTTGCTAGCCTCGCACCCAACCTTCCCTCTTTACCAGTCTTATTACTGACTTTGCGAGGTGAAGGAGTGCGTCCGCCGGGTATCAAACCCCGGAACACCTGTGTGGTTAGCGAACATTCCACCGCTGTCCCACCGACGCACTTGGTAAATTATATTATTTTTCTTAATTGGATTTATTGGGTCCTTAAGCCAATAAAGTTTATCTCTGAGAGAGTTGCTTGGTTCAAATGCCACCCAAATTTCAGCTTCATTGATAATCCTACATTTGACCTGTTGTTTGTTGCCACTTTCCATGTCTCCAGTATACATTTTGCATCATTCCGATTGGAGAGACAGATAGAGAGAAAATATATGTATAAAACAAATTGTGAAACCGTGTGACTAAAATTGATATGATTATGAGGAATAATTTATTCTCAAAATGTCATCCAGTTGTTAATAGTGAATCAGTGTGTGATATTTAAAATATATTTAGTATGGAATTACATTCTATCAGAGTGCCCAAGTTCTACAGTCACATTAAGTGCACTTTGACTAGATAACTTATAAGGTCACTTCTACACCTGCGAATTAACACATTTATGACACTTTCAAAACAACAAAATCTGGATTCTGCAATGATATATCACAATGAATAAAACACGGGGGGGGGGGGGGCGTTAGGAACTGGAATCCTGTAGTGATTCAGAACTTAATTTCAAACCTATTGAAGTATATTTCGATTACACTGGTATCATAGATATATTCACAACAATTTATCTTTTAACCGAAGATCCAAATAGTTCGTATTGTCATCTTTCAATTTTAAGAAATTATTAATAAAGTTAGACTCTACATTCAGTTAACTTTTATTCAGAAACTAAAGATTTTTTGCCTCTGCGATGTATCACTGATATATATATATATATATATATATATATATATATATATATATATATATATATATATATATATATATATATATATATATATATACGGAGATGGAGTCAGTGATGAATCCGACTACGCGTTTACATTCAAATGCTTAACTTAGATAAGTGGTACGACATACATATATATATATATATATATATATATATATATATATCTTGGTAGGGAGAAGTTTCCTGAGAAAAATTTCTTAACTGTTGTGTTGTTGGAGTGGTAACAAAAGAAAATTAGCAATAGTTACGTAATTAGATAAAAGATCAAAATTTTACAATTTCAGTGCATATGAGGTCAGATGAGAAGTTGATGATGTAATGCAGTGAGCAGATCTCAGACGATTAAGAGAGAGTCAAGCGAAAAATAAAGGAAGGGGTGGAGTGAAAAGATAAGCTAAGAGAATTAACAAAATTAGAAAACAGAGTTATTAAGAGGTGAGTCACCAGGGTACCATCCCAACAACACAACTGTTAGTAAATTTTTTTCAGGAAACTTCACTCTACCAAGATATATGCATATATATGTCGTAACACTTTAGTCACCCTGTAAATCTCACAGCCTTACTTAAATATGACGCTCTGACAGTGTGCTTGCTAACGGACAAAGGTTTGTTAAAATTGTACACTTTTTATTTCTACTAAAAAATTCAGGTTGAACGCAGCTGATGAGAACCAACGAAGTAAAATGGATCCAGATTATTCTGCGCCAATATTTCTTCTTTCTTGGTTCAGATTGGAGATTTGTCTAGAGCACATAGACAGGGAAAGTTTCTTTTTTATCTATACTACTTGGGGATCCTATGAACCAATGTTTACAGACTTGCAGCAATGTCTTCAAATAATCATCTGTAACCGCATAAATATATGTATGCTTTATTAATGTTGATTTAATCACTGTCTTTTCTATACATCTGTATCCACACTATTTTTTATTACACTTCCTTTTTTGTGTTTTTATGTTTGATTCTCTTTTTCTTGAAGTATTGAAATTCGAAGCAACACATGTTCCTTCAAAGTTATCTACATTAATTAGCCAATGCGTAATATTTATGTAATATTTCACGACAATCAGAAAATAAAAAGAATCAGTAACTAGCTGCATTTTGTTAACAAAACAATTGTCAAAGAAAGAAGAAATCAAAAAACGGAATACACATACCGTTGACTTGATTCATATTCACCAATCAACAGACAATTCATAGACTTCATTATAGTTAACCAATAGTCACATAACCAATTAGTTGATTCACTTCGACTATGCATTGAATCCTGTTCATCAGTGTCTTCATCATTTAATAGTAAGGGTAAAATTTCTTTTAAAAGTTTATGTACACCAATTAAATGTGAATCACTGGGATTGTTCATGTTATTAAGATTGGTATATTCACAATTAACAGGATACTTTTTTCAAACATAAATTAACGATAGTGCTCATTAATGATCGTACTTCATGTGATTCATCGAATAAACTTTGTAAGATGCAATTCAATAGTCTGTTAAGGATTATTATGAATGAATTAAAAAAATATATGAGTTAGTTAATGCTATCATTAAACTAATTCTGGGAAAAAAACCACTTTACAATTATTAGATTTCGTCACAAACCAACATCACTAAGAAAGGGATTATTGAAACCCAAGCAGCACCAGTGCCAGGCTATTTTTCAGACTTTTCAGCAATGGGTGAATGTCCTGAAGCTGTAGTGGGAAGTCATGACCAGCGGGGTCAACCAAACTAACGTCAAATGGGCGCTCACGGACGTCACTGATGACGGTATGTCTATACCATGAATTGACAAAGGAAGAATTCATGGGTCAGTGAATTCCTGTCCAAGTGGCTGAACACCTAACGAGCTTGGTCTCACAGTCTGACAGCTTTGCATCCCACCCCTGGTGAGTTTGTGGGCGCACACTGCTGAAGATTCCCAAAAATAGGACGAAACGGACGCTCAATGAGCTTGTTTTTCATTGACCACTCTATTCAATTTTGACTTATGACGAGGAATCTAACAACTGAAAGAAATTGAATCAATCAAAATCCCGAAAAGAATTCCCTTTCGCCTTGTAAAATTTAACCTCATCCGTTCTTATACCTTATACTCTATTCGGAATTGATAGTGTTCTCTGAGCTCCTTGGTTTAATTGCGGAGCTTTCATCGTCTTTCTGGACGACATCTTCAGCGCAGTATTTGGGATAAAGTGAAATGATTTAAATTTCTTCATGAGTCTCCCGGTAACCATCTTTAGATATTTATTGACCGTTTTCTATTGATTGGGATTTTAAACTTTCTGATCACCTGATTTACTTCTTATTAGTTGGTATATTTCATCTATATTAACGTGTTTATTAATTGCGTTTTCATTTGAGTACCAGGCTTCTAGGAATTCTCTGGCACATTTGGTGTTTCCTCTGTTTAAGATTTTGACATTATCCCAATCAAATTGATGTCCATGATCGTCTGAATGTATTGATACTAAAGAATTTATATCATGTCTTTTCACGGCTGATTTGTGTTCCTGGATTCTTATTCGAAGGGGACGCCCACTTTGGCCGATGTAATGTTTGTTACAGTTCACACAATTTATTTTGTAAATGGTGTTAATTTTATCTCCCTTTTCTATCGGATCTTTTGGTTTGCATAAGATAGAATTAAGCGATTCAGCTGGTTTGTGTGCTACATCTATATCAAACGGTTTCATTATTCTAGCCGTTATTTCAGAGATGTTTCTGATATATGGTAGGATGAATTGCTTTTTGGTCTTTGGTGATGGTTCTTTGTTGGTGCTTTCATTCGATTTTAAACACTTTTTGATGAAATTTTTTGGATAACCATTCTTCTTGAACACCGTTTGTAAGTATCTTTCTTCCATTCTTTTCAACTCTGGTGTGCTACAATGTGTTTGAATTCTTCTAAACAATGTCTGCACACAGTTTCTTTTGTGAGTAATTGGATTGTTGCTAGTATAGTTTAGTATTTGATCTGTGTGCGTTGACTTTCTGTATACTTGTGTTTCTAAATTTCCTGTGTTGGTTCTCCTGATTAAGACATCTAAAAATGGGATTTTGTTATCTAACTCTTCTTCTCTTGTGAATTTGATGTCTTCAAATATGTTGTTTATTAATTTATGGGTATATTCTAAATCATTTCTCTTAATTATTACAAATGTATCATCAACGTAACGTACCCAGATTTTCGGTTTAATTATAGGTAGAGCTATTAATTCTAATCTTTGCATAACGGCTTCAGCTATTAATCCTGATATGGGCGATCCCATTGGTGCTCCCTTTATTTGCTCATATATTTGAGTATTAAATTGAAAGTATGTTGTAAGGCATAATTTTATGAGTTCTATCCAAGTTGAACATTGCGTTTTTATGTTTTCATCACTATAGAGTAATCGTTGCATAGTTTCTGTTGCTAGTTTTGGACTAATCGAAGTATATAATGCTGTGACATCAAAGGACACCATTATTTCATTGTCTTCTACCTGGATGTTTTTGATTTTCTCTAGAAATTGAATTGACGAATTGATAGAATGGTCGCATGATTCTGTTAGGTAATTTAACTTCCTGAAAAGTTCTCTAGATAGATTATATGTTGGTGTTCCTGGAAGCGAAACGATTGGTCGTAAGGGGATGTTCGGTTTGTGTAGTTTTGGTCTACCATACCTTACCTTATTAAGTCAACACTAGAATTCTGAATTCCTTGGAGTAGGCCAATTGCAATTACCTAGGACAGATTTTCGATGTACCAGGTTATTACTTTACTTTACTTCGGCTATCTCCTACGGGAGGATGAGCCGGCTTCATGAACGTCTCGAATCATCGCTGCCCAGGCGCGGCAATTTGTAAGAGAGTTCATGTAGTTTCATGGGAATTTGGTACGAGTGATGTCCCCAGCATCGCTCGGCCTTTTGTTTGAGAGTGCAGCTCTAGCCTTTACACAGCCAAGTGTGACCTACAAGGCAGTAGGAGTGGAGTAAGGAGTCCACTATCCATTGGAAGCCGGTGACCGGAGTTCGGTTCATACGCCTTTTTGAATGGGGCCAGACATCCAGGACATCCAACAAGCCCTTTGTCCATACGTCTGCCGGTGAGCTCCAGTGAGCTTCATACGCCAGTCGTTGGAGGTTTGGAATCAGGGTTTAGCCATCTCCCCTAGACCGTCATCCAATGGACAGTCAACCCGGTGGAGAGCGCCGGGCATCCGCTTTCGCCCTCTTACTTTGGTGAGAAACACCTCCGCCACGTGAAGGCAGTGAGTAGGACTTCCTCAGGAGAGGCTATGTAAGACGCCCGGTCATATGGGAGCATTTCAAGAGGTGTGCGGAGGGGTGGCCAACCCGCAGCGCAAGGCACCCACCCCCGACCATCCTGAGGCTTTGGAGGCCCAGGTTATTATTAGCTAGGCATATTGTTTGAACGATCAAGTGGACTTCTCAGTCTCCTAAGCTGAAGTAGTTGAAGCGCGATTAGGACCTGAGATCAACTGCCTAATAGTAATATGTCTCATAGAAAGCTGCGGTACAGTAACGTTATTTTGTTAAACAACGTGATTTCTAACACGTATATCACAGCAAAAGATTTTCTAGAAATCACCGACAATTTCGTGCATGATATGTGAATAATGATTGACAAAGAATGAATTTAGATTGTTTAATTTAGAATTCCACAATTTTTTAAACTGACCATACAAACATCGGTAGGATATTCGTAAGAAAGATTGATAACAGCGAATTTGCAATATATCCTACTTTCAACCAATAACCTAAACTGGTGATAGAATTACTGATATATATGCAACAGTAGATGTATGGTTGGATACCACTGAAGTGTGTTAAAACGTGTAATTCCTTTTAATACGCCTATTAATGTCCTTATTATTGATAAGATCCTTGAACGTAATATATTTACACGGATGAATACATGTGAACTATGCAATCGCATTTCGAGTATCAACAAGCAGAGGGAGTTTTTAACCACAATAAGTAACACTACCCAATACAGACTGGTCAGCGGTTTAGTGGCGGAATGCCCGCCAACCCAACATGTAGTATGAGGTTCCAATCCCAGCCTTTGCACTCTTAAACCTTATCTAAATTAGCAGCCAGTAGTAAGCTTAAGGAAGAGGGAAGGTTGGGTGCGAGACTAGTAACACCATCCCGTAAAACAACACCTACAGTACATCAGTTATTTTTTGAAGAAACGACTCTCCTGCAGAGTGTCACCAGAAGCACGAGTTTCGGTGGTTTGAAGTGATTGGGCTATCTGAGCTTAATCACACCGGGTACACAGCTGATGAGCTCAAACCTAAACGAGGGAAAAAAGACGTTTGGTATGTAGAACTCTTTGATCTGGTTAACAAACACTACTGGTTGACATCAATAGTATCTAACTGCTCATAGCATATAACATCATGTATTTATGACTACGTTCTTGAGTATTACTTGTGATAAAAAGTAGATCACACATTGTGCCAGAGGATGAACAGGGCACTTTAACAACCACTTGCAATTCCATGTAGATGGGAACGATCCACACATATTGTATGGTAGCTAGTAACAACACCCACCTATCTTAACCTCAATAGGTGGAGCGGGTTTCTACAACCGATGACCCACTGGTTGTAAAAGTTCTGCGTGTTGACCGATAAGCCACAGGTCTACTGTCACATATTGTGCTCTGAATAATTTCGGTCTCCCAGGGGAGCAAAACTGTGGTGAAATTCCACCTTCTTGGACTGTGTTACTTGCAGACTACGACATAATTTGTAAACTGCGAATTTATTCCAAGCGCAAAATATCTTATCTTAGCCAAACAACAAAGAATTCGTGTCAGTCGAATCGTAATGCTTAACAAAAAACCAATTCATGCAGTGGGAATTATAAATGCTTTTTTAAAGTAAAAATAAAAATATACAGATTCTCTCTGGGAGGCACAAACATGAGAGAGCCAGGCAGGCTTAAGACCAGGAAGAGTGGCGTTTTGATCACATCTTCCCCCTACGACAGATTCTAGAACATAGTCATTTCATACCTGCGTCCAACAATCATTATATTTCTTGACCTAAAGTGGTGACGACTAGTGGTGTCCATCAGGGATGCCCAATATCCTCATTTCTATTCAATTTCATCAGTGGCGCAGATGCATCCACTCCTTGTGACCTATGATTTCTAATGAAACTATATTCTTCTTCGTTATTACTATTCCTCTGTTTACTGTCTCTATTATGCATTTCTTCTACTTTCTTCTCTTGCTTTGTGTGCTACATGGAGTGTGGCGAATTGAACTGCAAAGTTATATGTCGAAAACAAACAGAGAGACAGAGATTCTCTCTAAGTAAGCAGATAGATGCATATACCAAAAGAGCACATACTGAAAAGTTTTAAATAAGGGGGAAAAATTCCGTACAGTCAATCTTACCTACTTATGATACTCAAACTTTCTGAATTATATTTAGCTTACATCATGTTTTGGTGTTTATAAAGAATCCAAATAAAAATAACATCAAAATATGTCCATTACGGTACTAGACGTTAACAAACAATCAGCATAAAAGCCTACTTTCATGTTTGTTCACACAAATCAAAACATTTATCCAAAACTTTGAAGTGAAAAAAAACCTTTGCAAGGGAATCTCATTCGTCATCCACAAATGAATTAGTGTAAGACTTATTTCTCATTGAAAAACCACTAATTTCACTATTAGATATTAAAACCCCTGATCAAAAGACAAAAATCTTAAATGACTTTCACACTTATTCACGCCTATCATACATGTAATAATAGGTAGATAGGTAACCTGAGAATTCACTACCACGAACCTTATTCAATGAGCAAAACTCAGTTCAAATGCATAAACTATGTATGTTGTGTTCATTAAGCTGAAACTCTTCCCAAGCATATATTTAAAAAAATTATTTTTTTATAAAAACACTGACAGTAAAGCTAAGATTAAACAACTCTGTGAATCACACACCTTTTACGCTGTGATAAATTCAGTGATAGTTTGATCAAATAAATTCGATATGGTCGGGAATTCATACCAGTTTTTAAAGTGTTTTCTTTTTCTTCGCCTTTCAACTTTATTATCCATAAATGAATTGACTTTGAGGCAAAGATACGCGAAGTTGTCGATTTATGAAATTGTAAACAGTCAGTTACTAAATCTAACCATTTATCCACATGAAAGCTAGTTGATAAATAAACAAAAGAAGAGCAATCATTTTTATAGAAGACAGAAGAAAGAAGATAAGAAAATCTACGTGTTATCATTCCCTGCTGCATACTCAACCGAATCATACTGTTGTTGTTGTTTTTTTACTTTTGAAACCGATTGGACCGCACACTGCAAGCCATCCGTCAAGGTAAACAATATGAAAAAGAAGAGTGAAAATGGTAATGTTACTCGATCATTTGCGGTTGATAATCAGCTGAACCTATTTGTGTAAGAGGCAAGCACACTACTTGGTTGCTCGAATCTAGGTCAGCAAAGTGGGCTTAGAACAAGTCACTACCTAGTCATTAGAAGTCGAATACCTAGGCCAATAAAACACGTTTGGAAGTATCGACGTTCATACAAGAATGACTATATACTGCCAGCACTTAGTCCATTTGTTTTAATAAATTAAACAATAGAAAAGTATAAATTTCAAAAACAAAAAAACGAATCATACTAATATACAGTATAACGATAACATTCACTTCCGATAGTGGATATTATCTTGAGTTCTACTTTACGTTTTCCATTTGGTTTACTAGGTTTTCAAGAAATAAGTTGTTGGTGAACAGGTTGCTGTCAAATGTCACCAGAGTCATGACATTGTGTTGAACAAGTGTAATAAACCAGGGACTAACAAATCACATAACAAAAAGTACTAATAAACGCAAGCTCCGATCAATAGTCACTAGAGATATATCCGTTTTACAACAACACACACGTGTAATGGGACTACAAAGTGACTGATATCAACATAAGATAAATAGTCACAAAGCACTCATTCGATCGGCGGAGGATTAAGTTTGTAATTCAGAGGCTAGCGATTTAAGTGTAACATTAAGCGATGCTTTCGTCTCAACTTTAGTGATCACACAAAAATCGTAAGCCTAATCACTTATCAAAATTATTCATAAGTATGAAAATTAAACCAAACCCATCAGAAAGAGACAAAATTATGTAAAGCCTACCAAATATGATCTGATGATAAACACATTAAATGTGTAATTAGATACAATAGACGTGAACGATTAACACAAAATCTGATTCCAGTAATCATTTCATTACATGAAGATAAATTCCACAAACGTGATAACATGGTTTCGAGGTTCACTTCAGTTTGAATCTTTTTTTCTGTTGTTGATGAACAGGATACTACGAAAAACTCCAACAGACGCCAGAAGACTGTTGGATGAAGGTACTCCAAGAGAGAACGGTCTCCCGCCAGCTTTGGATCAACAGAACAATTAGATATTCCCTGTGTTATACAATTCACTTCTTCAACTGGTGGCAAAGGTCGCCAATTCATCCAATACTCAATTAACTGGAAGTGAAATTCTTCGGATAAATAATTATGATGAGGCTTTATTAGATTAAGAAATCGTAAGAGTAGAATTGGATCCGTCTTATTGTTAATAATCAAAGAACTAATCAGATTTGAATTTGACTGCAGTCTTGAACAGATTTGATAAAACTCAACTAAAAACTCCATGTGAAATGGCTAAATTAAACATGTAAACAGATAAGTAAAACAATTTTAGAAAAAATTAACAGACTGATAACTGATAAAGAAAAACAAAACTTTAAGAACATAAGAAAATTATTAGCAACAAAAACAAGGATACTGAAATAAATTATGCGAAAAATAATAATGAGATAGTACCGAGTCAGTAGTTCGGCGGTAAAATGCTTGCCAAAAACACATAAGGTTTTGGGTTCAATCCCCTGCCGACCCACCCCTAAACCTCACTAAGTTGAAAGTATGTATATGCTAGACTAGAGGTTTTTATCGGCAAAACAATACAACCAACAAGAAAAAAATTGCACTCAAGTCGTTTAAAAGAAACGATCAGTAGTAGTAAGGTCTGGTGGACACATTCGGATCAGCATATTTAAGAACAGGAAGAGATAGATTGGTTACCATATTAATATATCATTATGTAAACGTGTAACGCTATAAAACAAGAGACTTGATAAAGGAATGTTTATTTGGAATTTGGTATCTGTATATAGCGAAATCACACACCTTATGTGTAAATCCGCATTTGCACAGATCTTCCATGTTGTGCTACTTCTGTCCATCGTGTTGCATTCCTTTATCTTCTGTTCATGCTTCGCGTGTTTTGTCGTAACACTGCTTCATTCCCTCTCTTTGACATCAAATCCATCTCTCCACTATTAGATTTTTGTGCAGGTGAGCGCGTCTCTATATAAACTACTGATAAACCTTATAAGTAACACATGCCACACACGCACTTCGATTCTGAGACTTAACTATTAGTGTTGAAAAAAGAGAAGAAAAGAAACTTACAGTACAACTTACAACAACTACTGAAATCACTCCTTGTATGTAGTTAGCTTTATGCTTATGAAGTCAATCGGTCAAGTATCTCTGGAGATCGTCTTCATCCCAACTCAACTACATCATGTATTACTGCACCACTGTGAAGCCAGTCTTAAACCATTGTGTTTCTTAACTTCGCAAAAATCACGGCAACCTCTTCACATAACTGAAACTAACAGTCAATAACTTATTTGGTTGACATCACAGTCTGATCAAACTACATTTAATTCTTTCTAAAATGGAAAACGAGGTGTGGAGAAGGTAACGTGCAGCATAGTGAAGACAAAGCCTATCGATCTACAACTTGCCTACAAAGCTGATAATAAAGCTAGCAGAATAAGAAACAGACTAAATGCTGCACTGAAAAGAAAGTACACAACCGCCAAGATTGTGCAGAACAAACCAATAACCTTTTAAGACGATCAGAAGTGGATAAACTCCCTTCCTATGTTATCATCAACAGCGGTGTTTAAATAACCTATATTTAGAATCAATGCCTGTCTATTGTGATAACCTACTGATTCTCGTATGCTCATTATAAACTCCTTTCAAAATATGACATTCTGAAGTTATGCACATCTATGCAAGATCGAAATTGAAATAATACATACGACCGTAAAAATTAAAGTAAATAATCTAATAATTATAATAATAATATAGTAATAATAGTACCTCAATGGTTAGAATGAATACTGATTTAGGTAAAGTACATAATCTTGTCCACACTTCACTTTGGAATAACACCTCATTGTTAGCATTCCCGAAGTATGCACCAGTACAGCATTTATAAGAATGCATAGTTCATAGGCGAGATACCAACAGGAAATAGATGTCCATTTAGTAAGATAATTAAATGCTGATTTCATATTGAAGAAGCTGCTCAACGTAAATTTCAAGAAGATAATTTGAAAAATATATAAAAATTACTCCTCATATATATATATATATATATATATATCTTCAGCTATTCATAAGCGGAGAAAAATCAGGCTATCAGAGTGACTGAATTTATTTCTCCAGATAAATTTAGAGAATGAATCGCTCGGCGTTCAATGATTTCACTAAGGAGGATGTCTGTCCGTTTGTCTGTTTTCGACATAGAACTTTGCACCGATGTGCACCAGTTCAAGTCGCCACACCCCATGTAGCACACAAAGCAACAGAAGAAAGTAGAAGGAATGCATATTAGAGACAGTAAACAGAGGTGTGAGACAAAGGAATAGTAGTAACGAAGAACAAAACAGTTTCATTGGAAATCATAAGTCACAAGGAGTGGATGTATCTGCGCCAGCCAGCCATTGAGAACGATTTTGAGCCATGTCACCAATTGTTTCCAACCATTGGTTTTTACCGTCCCGAGGACCCCAACCAGGAAGTCTACACCTTTCTACGTGGCTGGCTTAAACTAAATGTTGTGGATTTCATTGACTGGTGGCATGTTTTTGTTTGACCTCCGCTAGCTTTTTTCCAGTCTGACCCTATATCCGCTAACATAGCTCGTCGAGGGAGGTGATGGCTTGGCATACTTAACACATGTCCTAACCATCTCAGTCTTTGTAGCTTCACGACTTCGTCGATTGATTTCCCCTGTTTACCTAGAACTCTACGCCTAACCTCCATGTTGCTCACCTTATTATGCCACTTTACACGGGAAATAGAACGCAGGCACCTATGATCAAAGACAGCTGCTGATCTTTTCATGTCTTCCACTTCAAGTGGCCAGGTCTCACAGCCATAAAGGAGGACGGAGCGGACTGATGAGCAGTACACACCCTCTTTGGTCGATAGTCGGATATCTCGTCTACGCCAGAGTCGGCGTAAACTAACAAATGCGAAACGAGCCCCTGTATCCGTCTTCCTGTGATAATCACAGAGGGATTAGCTTGACTAATATAGTATCTAAAGTCTTAGGCTCAATAATCATGCGTAGACTGAGTGGTGCTCGGGAAGCACAAACACGAGAGAGCCAGGCAGGCTTTAGACCAGGAAGAGGGTGTATTGATCATATCTTCACGCTCCGACAGATTCTAGAACATAGGCATTCCTACCGGCGTCCAACAGTCATTATATTTCTTGACCTAAAGGCAGCATTCGACTCTGTCGATCGGGAAGTTCTCTGGAGATGCTTGGCTGTAAAGGGAATTCCAAGAAAATATATTGCACTGATTAAGGCACTCTACTCGTACTCATACAGCCAGGTGAGGGCTTACGGCGAGCTGTCATCTGAACTGATGACGACCAGTGGTGTCCGTCAAGGATGCCCATTATCTCCTTTTCTATTCAACTTCATCATAGATGTGTTAATGGACTTAACCCTAGGTGACTTCAGCGACTCAGGGATTGACTTGCTACCGGGGAATAATCTCGTTGACTTGGAATATGCAGACGATATAGTCCTTCTAGGCGAAGACGCTGACGAAATGCAGAGTCTTCTAAACACCTTGAGCCGCAATCTACGAATGTTTGGCATGCGATTCGCTCCCGCCAAATGCAAGATGATGTTACAGGACTGGACTACATCGACGCCTAGTTTAAAAATAGGAAGTGAAGTGGTAGAGCACGTTGACCGCTTCACTTATTTGGGAAGTACCATCAGCCCCAACGGGCTGATCTCTGACGAAATCTCAGCACGAATACAAGGGGCTCGTTTCGCATTTGTTAGTTTACGCCGACTCTGGCGTAGACGAGATGTTCGACTATCGACCAAAGGGCGGGTGTACTGCTCATCAGTCCGCTCCGTCCTCCTTTATGGTTGTGAGACCTGGCCACTGAGAGTGGAAAACATGAAAAGACTAGCTGTCTTTGATCATAGGTGCCTGCGTTCTATTTCCCGTGTAAAGTGGCATAATAAGGTGAGCAACATGGAGGTTAGGCGTAGAGTTCTAGGTAAACAGGGGAAATCAATCGACGAAGTCGTGAAGCTACAAAGACTGAGATGGTTAGGACATGTGTTAAGTATGCCAAGCCATCACCTCCCTCGACGAGCTATGTTAGCGGATATAGGGTCAGACTGGAAAAAAGCTAGCGGCGGTCAAACAAAAACATGGCATCAGTCAATGAAATCCACAACATTTAGTTTAAGCCACGTAGAAAGGTGTAGACTTCCTGGTTGGGGTCCTCGGGACGGTAAAAATCTATGGTTGGAAACAATTGGTGACATGGCTCAAAACCGTTCTCAGTGGCGCAGATGCATCCACTCCCTGTGACTTATGATCTTCAATGAAACTGTTTTGTATTTCTTTATTACTCCTTTGTCTCACACCTCTGCTCACTGTTTCTATTATGCTTTTCTTGTACTTTCTTCTCTTGCTTCGCGTGCTACACGGAATGTGGCGACTTGAACTTTCGCACATTTGTGCAAAGTTCTATGTCGAAAACGGACAGACAGACAGTATCCGTCCTGAGATTTTCTCAGAGATCAACCCGTTGTGGATGATGGTACTTCCCAAATAAGTGAGGCGGTCAACGTGCTCTACCACTTCACTCCCTATTTTTAATCTAGGAGTCGGTGTAGTCCAGTCCTGTAACTTCTCGCATTTGGCAAGAGCGAATCGCATGCTAAACATTCGTAGATTGCGGCTCAAGGTGTTTAGAAGACTGCATTTTTTCAGCATCCTCGCCTAAAAGGACTATATCGTCTGTATATTCTAAGTCAACGAAATTATTCCCTGGTAGCAAGTCAATCCCTGAGTCGCTGAAGTCACTTAGGGTTAAGTCCATTAGTACATCTATGATAAAGTTGAATAGAAAAGGGGATAATGGGCAGTTTTGACGGAAACCACTAGTCGTCACCAGTTCAGATGACAACTCGCCGTAAGCCCTCACCTGGCTCACTGCATGAGCTCGAGTAGACTAAGTGTCTTGATCAGTGCAATGTATTTTCTCGTCATTCCCTTTACAGCCAAGCATCACCAGGGTACCTCCCGATCGACAGAATCGAATTCCGCCTTTAGGTCAAGAAATATGATGACTGTGCAGTCCTTTCTCTTTTTTACTGATCCGTTCAGACGGACAGCACACATTCGGCTATCTACCGGGATCCAGTCAAGTAATGTCTTTTCTGCCCTAGTACTCAAAGCTATCCCTACACCAGCTAATCCTCGTGAACTAGCTGTGGCATCTCCTGACACCCTCAAGGTGAATTTTGCAGATTCATTCTGTTGGCCAGGTGGGGTTAGGTGAATAACCACACTTGAGTCCTGTTTGCGTGTTTCTGAAACACACAACATACATCAATGGCTCGGGACGCCAGAGTCTTGGATAGTGATGCTTGTTGTCCTATTTGGCCAAGTGTCCTAACATTAAATGCTCCTATATGAAATTGGTTGTGTGGCTTTAGGAGACTATCGGTGGTGGATTTTTGGCTTCCGTCGTTTTTAGTGGACACAGAGTGAAGAGGAAGTGAGGAGCCATCAAGTAGAGGAGTTTCATCAGTGGAAGGAAGGAAAGATAATAGAGATGAAGATGAAGACAAAGATGAGTGAGGATTAGAGAGGTTTCGTGTGCATTTCGGATTGTGAGGGCGATTGTCACTTCCCGGCTGCCCACACCGTGGAAGTTGGTTGCGTCACCACAGAGCCCAAGGGACAACTGCTTGAGGCCGGTCACACGCGGTCTGTTTTTGTCTGTTCTTTTTCGTTTGGTGTGTCTCAGTAGCACATTTATCACTCCTGCCCTGTGACATGGCAGCAGGAAGTTCGGTCGTTGTTAATCCGGGCCCTGACCGATCCGGCATGATATTTTGTGAATTTGTTTGAATCATGGTATTGGATTGGGTAGCTGGTTTTTGTCTAACTGCTATCCAGACAACCTTTCTGACAGTGTGGGACCTCAAGAGACATAAGTCGCAGCCAGTATAGCTTGATTAGGTCATTGCGGTGTTCAAGCCCGACCACCACGTTAAGGTAGCAGCTTTCGGTCGGGAGGATGTTCAGGGGTAGAGAACTTCGTCATTTGACGTTCGACTCTCATCAACCAAACTGGATAGTACTCGATTACGCAAATCCGGAGACCATACGTCGCAACAGCTAACGTAATTAGCTCCACCAGACCATGCACACAGAGGTGAGCATCGTCAAATTTTACTCTGACTGGAGAATACCAAGTGTAAGTCATCAGCATAAAAACAACTTTTAATACACTTGAATGGACGACTTTTAAGTTAATTAGGACAGAATGTCACCTTCGGATTCCAGAGTCATGAGGAGTGTTTACTTGGGCACTGTGATTTGGCTAGGAGTGATTACCTTCTACTTATTTCTTCCGACAAACCTTCAAGGACATCCATTATTTAAAAGCGTTGTACTAAGATTTCCATGTTCTTTGTCAATCTTATCTTTAGAGCAGATTTTCAGTATACTGAAACAAAGAGAATGTACAAGGCTCAATTTCGACTTAAAGTTGTTGAATAGTTGAAGTCAGTGTACTACTGTCTAAAAGTTGATCCTTAACAAACCATCCTCTCTCCTGTCAAACGCAACATCTAAGAAGTGAAATATGGAATCTATTGAAGAGAGAATTAATTCCATAAGTAACAGATAATGACAGGGCTTATTAGATTGTCTAACATCTCGATGATAAAAATTCAACATATTCGTATCATCGTTAGGCTATATCAAAAAGACATTCAAACAATTCTGAGTACCTCAGTGAAGTCATACTAAATGTCAACCATTTGTATGACGGTTGAATGTATGACGTGAGATGAACATCCACAACCCTAGAGACGCAGAGTTTAATGATGGTAGTTAGAGCAGGATTCGAACCTACAATCCACAGACTGTAAATTGAATGTATAAACGAATTGATCACAAAATTGTCTAAATATTATCCAATCACCTTTTGGATCAGAATTTTACTCCTAAATAAAACCAAATAATAACTAGTTATTGATAAAAACATTATTTTTAAAACATCAAAGCAAAACAGTTTAGAGACTCACCTTGCCCTCCACTTTTGAACAGTAGCACAAGTTTCATGTTGATACCAGGACTGCAATAAACATAACTGCCCGTGAATTGCATTCGAGATAGAGTTATACGAGTGCGTAGTGTTTATGTTATGTAGAACACATGAATAATACACTAGTTTCAGTGGTCCAACACAAGATATTTTACACAGCATAGACTGTTTCTCATGACAGCATGAAACTGATTCATCCTGATGATAGGTATCAATTGGTGGATTGAGAAATACAAAATATGCCTTAGAAACTAATTTACGAATATACATACTACTGTGATTCAAGAGTAAATGTTCAAGTTTTTCAAGGATATTATCAATTTCTTTTAGGCTGTAAAATACAAGTGAGTAAGAAAAAAGACCAATAAAGAAAAAAATTATTTTTAGAAAAACAAGGCTGTAAACACATAATTTATCGAATTATACACAAAAGCCAGAAAAGACGTAATTTGCTTTAATTGCGCTTATAAGCAAATGACAGTGTTGGTTTGCAGAGATTTGATTGGTCACAGGTTTGATAACCAGTGGTAGGTGCGTAGTGATGAAGAGATCCAAACTGGGACGAAACAGATGTTCAGTACTCGCTCATTTTCCAATGTTTTTCTGACTGATGCCGGCTAATGATCAAACTTGACAATGACAATTAGGCATAATGAGCCTAAAAGTTTGCAAAACTATAGCAGCATTTCAACCAGGAGTTGAAAGTCAAACGCCTAAACCAATGAAAACACTTTACATTACAAATATAGATGCGAAACATTTCTTTTAACTTTTATCAAGTAAACAGACGCGAGTGGAACACTAGGTCTCAAAGCTGAAATAAAAAGATATATTGAGATTATTATGTCTAGACGTATATAAACAATGACGGACTATACAACACTTTCACTATTAGTCATCTCTGGCTTTATTTTCCAAAGCAATTCGACTTCATATAACACCAATCACCAATGAAAATGGATGATCAAAATATTCAGGTATGCGAGTGAGACTATTCATACAGAGCATCATTTTTTTCTCCACAGATACAATAAAAGCGCGTCATCAAAAGCATTTCTAACAGGCTACTGCAGAATTTCATCAGACGACAGATGGTTTCTATGACCAGATGGCTAGCTAGAAAGGGTCAGCAACAACAAATCCTGGGAACAAACCAAGTAAAAACCTATCGTCCAACAAATATGCAGAGAAGGAAATGGAGATGGATCGAACACACACACACACTCTGAGGAGACCGTTCCTAGTCCTCGAATATAAACCGATTCGGGAAACGAGTTGGTGGTTCGAGGGCGAAGTGGAGGAGACCATGTGAAACGGAAATAAAAATTAATGAGCAATTGCGTAACCAAATGAAAAGTATTACTAACATCAAAGCCAAAAGGAGATGTGCTACTGTAGTCCTATGTTTCATTCGGAACCGAAAGGAATAATGACACCGAATGGAAGAGAAATTTAACAAGCAGTAATTAACATGGCCTTAAAAATACCTGTGTCCATACGCCATTGAACGTCACATACTGTAAAAATTAAGAAAATGAAAAAACGACTTGATCTCGCTTATTACTATTAATACTTTCACTTATAATATTGGATGCACAGAAAGGGAGGATAAGAATTTAATCATTTGATAACATCACATTTATAAAATCCAATTCAATACATTTAGAAGTTCAGGCTGTTTTTTTTCCTTCAACCATCTTCTTTACAACTAAAAATGATCTAGCACTGAAACGAGATCGTGCTGAAAATTTCTTGACTGATGATATATATGTTAGACAAAAATTCTGCTACAACGGCACACACACACACACAAACAGATGATGAATAAAACAGAACCACACATTAAAAAGAAAATATACACAGTGTAAAGTACTTACCCTAAGAAGGAGTGATCAGCTGATGCTGAGAACCTAACGATCAATGTAAGCAAGGGAATTGAAGATTGACCAGATGATAAATCTTGGTAGGTCTTATTTAAACAACTCAAGATAATATCCAATATTTGAGGATGTTGTAGGTAGACATCTGAAATCACAGGGAACTGTAAATCTGAAGTTGCTCCAGTCAAACGATACACCAGAGCACCTGTGTTATGTAGAAAGTTAGAAGAAACAATGACTATATATATATATATATATATATATATATATATATATATATATATATATATATATATGGACTTGTTCATTTGTGCACCTGTAACTTTAAGGAAAATCGACTCCCCTTTCCATCTTATGGATTCAAACTCCGACCACTGGGTGACTCATTCAAAAACTTCATCATTAAACTATTTGAGTGCTGCTGAACCTCAACACGATTAGACCAGATTGTAGACAATCAGTTTGAATGCAAATCGAACTATACAATGTGGTGATTAAACACTTAGGAAAATACTGAAACACTGGTCGCTATTCGCAGATATGAACCGAACTAATTAAACTACATGTATAGTGGAAAATTGTTGGGATCTAAGTTTCAGTTTCAATTCCAGACGATACTCCTTAGAAATATCGGTTTATTTATGCATGTTAAAAAAATTACTCAAAAACTTACTATGAAGTTGTAGAGCAGCATTCCAAACATTCCATTTCTTTGAATTGAAACCTGGAACAACAGCTAGTCGAAGAGCTTCAATTGTCCAATTACTGACTTGTGAATGATCGTTTCTTACAAGAACAGGATGTTCGTGTACACGTAGTCGAGAATCAGTGAACAGACCATGCAATAAATGTAAAGCGAATACTCTTGGTGAATCATGAAGTGTATCAGTGTTAGATGTACATTGTATATTTTTGCTGGCATCATCTTCTTTGTCGCTTAACTGAGTAATTTTGAACAAACTCTCCAAACAACGAACAAGAGAACATGGCTAAGCCAAAAAAGAATTCAAAATAGCTCGATAAATATTCACACTTTGTTACTAAATAACGAAATATAATTCCCAACAAACAAGTGTATTCTGATAGAAACAAAACACCCTTCTACCATAATAATAACAGCTTTATTCTGCACAAAACGTTTACACAGTATACATCCGGTTGGAATAAACCATAGAAATTATGCGTCAATATTCCTACTTGCTTCTTTCACCTGAAAAACAATTTGAACACATGCTCATGTGGACTAAAAATGTTCAGTCTAAGTTTAACAACGGTATGTATCATCAGATTGATGGGGCTGCGATAGGTAGTCCATTAAGTCACATCCTAGCGGATATTTTTATGGGACACCTTGAGCGGACGAGCCAGAAACACCCTATACATGATGTGACTCTTTAAAAGAGATATATTGACAACACGCTTACTACATATGATGACATTAAACGTGCCTTCTACTTACTATGGAATAAAAAAAATGGAAAGTTTATTTTTCTGGATATTAGACTTTTGCGAACTACAGACGGAAGTATACAAAGATAGACTATATCTGAATTTTAAAAGTTTTTGTCCAATAAGCTACAACAAAGGCCTGGTGAGGACACAGTTCAAAAGAAAGACTTAGTGATGAGCATGTTATCATTGAGAAGTGCTTATGAGACAATGGATATCCTTAAAAATTCATCGATAAACATAGAAGGATATCAAATATAAAAGCAAAATGTGATACAGTAGAGATTAATTTATCTGATTAATTGAGTTACTTTGTCATAACAAAGTGAATTATTCAAACTGAGCATTTTAAGTACTTTCAAGCACTCTTCAAGCATGTATTGAAGGGTGGTTAGAGGATCATACATTGGGTGATATGTACTCATCATAGCAATTAGATGGTCATTGAAACCACTGATCAATAACAAGTGTTCATTTTGGAAGTCCTACAAAAGAATATTTGTGTAAAAGGGAATTCGGCAGTTCAGTGAATCAGATAACGAGGTTAAAATTATAATATCGTGAATGTATTTTTATTTAAACATATTTCTTGCATCGTGAACAGCAAGATATGTATCGCATAAAATAAAATAAGTATGTGTGGTATGCAAAGTAGCTGTCGAACAAATAAAGTAGAAATTGGAAAGCGTACTTCCTAGTGATATTCAGATGGACAGTCATCAATTCATATTACTTATAGAAATTGAGAATAAAAACAGGAAATTGGAGCTTATCCTCAATAATTGTCGATTTTGAACCATATATGATCATACCTTGAGCTCACCAGGAGTGGTGACTCATGGAAAAGTGCTGATACAACGCAACCAACCTTCGGAGTTGCCACCTCATAGGCTGACCATTGCTTTTTATGACCAGTCCTAATGGTTTACAAATAGTGATCGCTATGGAAGTATCTCAGATGATATTCAAAGCATATGTCTGTTCTCCTGTCTATCTGGATTCAACATAGAACTTGGCACCGAAGTGCACCAGTTCGAGTTGCCATGTTCCAAATAGCACACAAAGGTAGACAAGAAGATGAGTGGAGAGAATCAATAGAGTTTGACAGGTGTAAGAGCGAAACAGAATGGGTAATGGTAGAAAGAAATATGAAAGATTACAGAGACTGAATACATCTGCGCCATTGACAACGATTTTAAGCCATGTCACATATTGTCTCCAGCCATTGATTCCTAGAGTCCCGAGGGCCCCAACCCGGAAGTCCGCATCTCCCTCCCTACCTGACTCAGTTTAACTGTCAAGGACTTCATGGATTGATGCCATGTTTTTGTTTGGCCACCACTTACTCTTTTCCAACCTTCGCCTATGTCAGCTAGCAAAGCCCGTCGGGGGAGGCGATGGTTAGGCATGCGCACCACGTGACCTAGCCATCTTAGTCTATGTAACTTTATAACCTCGTCGATTGATTTTCCCCCTTTGCCCAACACTCTACGCCTAACGTCAACATTACTTACCTTATTAAACCACCTAACGTGAGAAAGAGATCGCGGACATCTATGATCGATAGCAGTCAACATTTTCATGTCTTCAACTCGTATTGGCCATGTTTCAGAGCCATAGAGAAGGACGGAGGGAACTGATGAGCACTACACACGTCCCTTGGTTGATAGCCGAGAGTTACGCCTACGCCAGAGGTGGTGTAAGTCAGCGAAAGCAGCTCGAGCTTTTTGGATCCTTGCTGCGATTTTGTCGCCAATCAGTCCGTTGGTGCTGATACAACTTCCCAAATAGGCGAAGTGGTCAACATGTTCTATCACTTCACTCCCTATCACTAAGCTAGGAGTTGACGTAGTCCAGTCCTGTAGCAGCATCTTACATTTTCCAGGGGCGAATCGCATGCCAAACATACGAAGATTGTTGCTCAAGGTGTTCAGAAGACTCTGCATTTTGTCAGCAGTCAGGTAGTTATGCTATCTACAATACACTGAGTGATATAGGTTGGGGGTGACAAACACAATCAACTAGTAGGTGCTGGCAAACAAGGGATTGCATTTGAGCAGAATTATCTGTCGACTACTAAACATATCTTCAAATAGCAGTATTCCAACACAGAACGGTAAACAATTGGCATAACAGCATGATTAACCAATGCAGTCAAGACGATACGTACACCGAGTTTAAACGTCGAAATGCATCAGTCATTTGCAGGGAATGAATCGATTATCACAAGGCACAGAAAGATAACACCTATCAGTTCAATTACTCCATAAACTAGTAAAATAATTCTCATCTTATTATATGTGACTTATCGATTGATCAAGCAGGATTTATGTACCTCAAAATTCGCCGTGGAGGTGAATGTGGCAAGCTATAAACATGAAACATAGTTGCCAAATGTTACGAAAACATTTCAGCTTCATCCACATACGCACACATACATGATAGATACATTATATATATATATATATATATATATATATATATATATATATATATATATATTTGTCGAAATATGAAAATATTTAAGTGTTGGTTTTTAGGGATTTGATTGGTTACAGGATTTCATCATGAAGTGACATTAGTTAGAGAACCATCGGAAAACCTGGGAGTACTGAACAGTTGTTTCGTCCTTGTTTGGGACTCTTCATCAGTACGCATCCACACTGAGGGGTTCGAACGCAGGACCTTCTGGTTACAAGGCGAGATCATGATGAAATCCTGCAAACAATCAAACAAAATCCCCTACAAAAAAATCAATACTTGAAAATATAAATATATATATTCAATACTCACGGGATTTTCAATTCCATTGCATGGTTTCACTAAAAGGCATGCACGGATAGCTGGTTTTACCCCAGCACCGCGTCGAGTAACAGAATAAGCACTATTATTTATTACTTGCCAACATATATTCAGTACATGATCAGAAGTCAACAGTCTATTATTAGGTATTAAAGAATATTCAATATCGGTAGAGAAATCCACTTGTGAAACTGGCATCCCCTTTTCTTCACAATCTACCATAACTGATGATGTCGATTGGTAGGCTTCAGTAGTTTGCAAATAGAGTAGAAGATTAAAGTAGATTGCTTCAATAGATCCCTTTAAACAGAAAAAGGTACATATATTTGTGTATGCAACGAAATAAAACTAAATTAAATTTATAAATCAGTATTCCATCTTAGACAATTTCGTAAGGTAAATTTTTGCCTTATGTCTTAACTTCTGCTCAGATTACGATCATAAAATAAAATACGATAAAAAGGAACAAGTCTGCTTTGGGAGATAATCGATTCCATTTTGGACCATTCATCCACTCATACGGAAGTAGATTTTTGTGCAGAAAACATTCAACACCAGACTGTTAAATTAACAATTTGTCATGTACACAGTTGGAGGAGTGACATTTTTACCCCCACTTTTCCTTTAGAAACCGAAATCATTTGTATCAGTGTATATGGTCTCTCCTTTATAGCATAAATGGTAATCTAGAAAGCAAACAAATTTCGATTAAACTACATACTGTTGATTGGTTGAGATGAGCAGTCGTATACCACTCATATCGACCAGCAGCGCTGATGATCTCAGCCCTAAATGCGCGAAACAGCCGTTAGGTGTTTAGATCGCCTCGATCTAGCTGGCAAGTACTGGTTGGTATAAGTAGTATAAAACTACTTATCCGAATCAATCAGTAGTATACAGTTTCAGTACCAAATTATGTAAGAGCTCGATGATATTAGATGCTTGGAGGCAATCAGCAGGAAGCCTTCGACCCTAGTTTTCGTGCTAGTTGGCACTTACAGACAAAAGGCGTATCTGCAACGTTGAAGGAACTCATGTCCCTTCTGAGATTCGAACCCGCGTCACCCAGTGGAGTTCTGCAGTCAGAGACTTTACCACTGAGCTATTCGGGCTCGCGATCGATCTCCTGTAGGACTGTAGTGGATATTTTGATTGGTGATTAGTAACTAGTGTGATGTGTCTAGAGTCCTTTCATTGGTGCAGACTGAATTCTATTAGATTAGGTTGCAGATACGCCTTGCTGACGAGTGCCAACTAGTACGAAACCTAGGTCCAAGGCTTCCTGCCGATTGCCTCCAACCATCTAATACCATCACATCAATGTGCACCGTGATGGCGAGTTACCTAGAATGGTGGCCACATTACAAACCTGAGTGACAGAATTCAGTCTGAACAAAAGAAAAGACTAGACACATCACCCTAGTTAATAGTGTCCAATCAAAATATGTAAGAGCTCATTTGATAAGGTGTAAAGAGTACTTCAGTTTGCTAAATGTTATGAAACGAATATCCCGATTACCGGAAACCAATTTAGGTTCTAAGAGATGAATGATCACAACATACGCCATTTTAAATCTATATGCCTATCCATTCATCTTCCGAAACAGATGTAACCGGTCAGTTGTTCTGAATTCTTAATAACATCATTCATCAAGTATTCACACTTTTAAGGGTTACAAAATGCAGAGTCTTCTTAACACCTTGAGCAGCAATCTACAAATGTTTAGCATGCGATTCGCTCCCGCCAAATGCAAGATGATGTTACAGGACTGGACTACACCGACTCCTAGATTAGAAATAGGGAGTGAAGTAGTAGAGCACGTTGACCGCTTCACTTATTTGGGAAGTACCATCAGCCCCAACGGGTTGATCTCTGACAAAATCTCAGGACGGATACAGGGGCTCGTTTCGCATATGCCAGTTTACGCTGTCTCTGGCGTAGATGAGATATCCGACTATCGACCAAAGAGCGTGTGTACTGCTCATCAGTCCGCTCCGTCCTCCTTTATGGCTGTGAGACCTGGCCACTTGAAGTGGAAGACATGAAAAGATCAGCAGCTGTCTTTGATCATAGGTGCCTGCGTTCTATTTCCCGTGTAAAGTGGCATAATAAGGTGAGCAACATGGAGGTTAGGCGTAGAGTTCTAGGTAAACAGGGGAAATCAATCGACGAAGTCGTGAAGCTACAAAGACTGAGATGGTTAGGACATGTGTTAAGTATGCCAAGCCATCACCTCCCTCGACGAGCTATGTTAGCGGATATACGGTCAGGCTGGAAAAGAGCTAGAGGCGGTCAAACAAAAACATGGCATCAGTCAATGAAATCCACAACATTTAGTTTAAGCCAGCCACGTAGAAAGGTGTAGACTTCCTGGTTGGGGTCCTCGGGACGGTAAAAACCAATGGTTGGAAACAATTGGTGACATGGCTCAAAATCGTTCTCAATGGCTGGCTGGCGCAGATACATCCACTCCTTGTGACTTATGATTTCCAATGAAACTGTTTTGTTCTTCGTTACCACTATTCCTTTGTCTCACACCTCTGTTTACTGTCTCTAATATGCATTTCTCCTACTTTCTACATGGGGTGTGGCGGCTTGAACTGCCGCACATCGGTGTAAAGTTCTATTTGGAAACTAGACACACAGATGTTTAGAGCTTCCTTTGTTAGTTGTTTTTTCTGCACTCCCAACACTTTTTTTTCCTTCACGTTCCCCAGTGGAACATAGGACTTCAAGCTAGTGGCTTGAGGTTTCTGTAGCAATGTTTATTTTACAGGATGGGGTCGCCAGCCTCATGTCCAACCTTTCCTCTTTACTAGCATTATTTCTGGCTCAGCGAGGTAAAGGAGTGCGTCAGCCGGGAATCGAACCGCGTGGCAAGCGAGCATTCTACCATTGAACCACCGACGCCCATGCCTAACATTTGAATCTTGTAAAATTCTGCAGATAACAATACAAAACTGACTCTTTCATTATAAACAAAACGAACAGATAACAAAAACAACTTGCCTTATGACGACACTGTAGCAACTGATGCAGTAAATGATAGCCAATTTTTGTAATAAGTATCCTTCGATTTAAGCTCATTTCTTTATCATTCAACTTAAATTGTAGAGCTGACCAACTGGCTAGAATACTAGAACAAAACTTTTGAAGAGAAAAGTAGAAATAATAAGCTTTAGGATAAGAAAAAGTGGTCACATTTAGCTAAACGACTTACAGAAAACTAGTCACAGTCCATAAGACCAATCTGTTACAGGTAAAAATTTATCCTGGAAAATGTATTATATAGTGTAGGGTGTAATCTAGAAGGAGACATGTGATATGGTCATGCCTTAAAGACACATTTGATTTCATCAGTTCACTAAAATATGTCACTTTTTTGAAAGACAAATGCTTTCTCCATATGTTACATCCCTGTTCACAACCTGACCGAAAACAATATGCTTCATCTGTGACTACATAGAAAACAACAACCTAAAAGTTGCCCTTACCATCAACTACCTGAACCAACAACTCCTCAGGTGTACGTTTAACATTCTGTTAAAACTCAATCACCAATTCTACACAAAAAGACGGTGTGGCTATCAGGTCTCCTCTCTGTCTGTCTGCCTGTTTTCGACATAGAACTTTGCACAAATGTGCGAAAGTTCAAGTCGCCACATTCCGTGTAGCACGCGAAGCAAGAGAAGAAAGTACAAGAAAAGCATAATAGAAACAGTGAGCAGAGGTGTGAGACAAAGGAGTAATAAAGAAATACAAAACAGTTTCATTGAAGATCATAAGTCACAGGGAGTGGATGCATCTGCGCCACTGAGAACGGTTTTGAGCCATGTCACCAATTGTTTCCAACCATAGATTTTTACCGTCCCGAGGACCCCAGCCTGGAAGTCTACACCTTTCTACGTGGCTGGCTTAAACTAAATGTTGTGGATTTCATTGACTGATGCCATGTTTTTGTTTGACCGCCGCTAGCTTTTTTCCAGTCTGACCCTATATCCGCTAACATAGCTCGTCGAGGGAGGTGATGGCTTGGCATACTTAACACATGTCCTAACCATCTCAGTCTTTGTAGCTTCACGACTTCGTCGATTGATTTCCCCTGTTTACCTAGAACTCTACGCCTAACCTCCATGTTGCTCACCTTATTATGCCACTTTACACGGGAAATAGAACGCAGGCACCTATGATCAAAGACAGCTGCTGATCTTTTCATGTCTTCCACTTCAAGTGGCCAGGTCTCACAGCCATAAAGGAGGACGGAGCGGACTGATGAGCAGTACACACGCTCTTTGGTCGATAGTCGGATATCTCATCTACGCCAGAGACAGCGTAAACTGGCATATGCGAAACGAGCCCCTGTATCCGTCCTGAGATTTTGTCAGAGATCAACCCGTTGGGGCTGATGGTACTTCCCAAATAAGTGAAGCGGTCAACGTGCTCTACCACTTCACTTCCTATTTTTAAACTAGGCGTCAATGTAGTCCAGTCCTGTAACATCATCTTGCATTTGGCGGGAGCGAATCGCATGCCAAACATTCGTAGATTGCGGCTCAAGGTGTTTAGAAGACTCTGCATTTCGTCAGCGTCTTCGCCTAGAAGGACTATATCGTCTGCATATTCCAAGTCAACGAGATTATTCCCCGGTAGCAAGTCAATCCCTGAGTCGCTGAAGTCACCTAGGGTTAAGTCCATTAACACATCTATGATGAAGTTGAATAGAAAAGGAGATAATGGGCATTCTTGACGGACACCACTGGTCGTCATCAGTTCAGATGACAGCTCGCCGTAAGCCCTCACCTGGCTGTATGAGTACGAGTAGAGTGCCTTAATCAGTGCAATATATTTTCTTGGAATTCCCTTTACAGCCAAGCATCTCCAGAGAACTTCCCGATCGACAGAGTCGAATGCTGCCTTTAGGTCAAGAAATATAATGACTGTTGGACGCCGGTAGGAATGCTTATGTTCTCCTCTCAGTCCAATCTTAGCTGACTGCTCCACTGCAAGTCTCGAAAACAACATTCTTGATCCTCTGATCACTCAATGGCACCTATACAGGAGATATATAGATCATACTTTCATAATTTGTGATGAAACATTTGATCTAGACTATCTACACAAAACTTTCAAATCGACACATCCTGCAGAAATATTCACTCTAGAAATGTGAATCACACAGGCCATTTCCATTCTTGGAAGTACTACTTACCAGAAGACAAGTCTACACCATCCAAATATTAGGATACCGCAACCTAATATGGCCTGGATAATTTATCAGCTTCCAGAGTTTCGTCCCCCTGATACGACAGAGAAACTTATTACGTAACCAGTGTCCTGGCATCAGAAAAATCCCTCCAGAAGTTACGACAGAGACCGAATTAAAGTCACCACGTGACAACCTACTGGAGAAATGATATCCACCCATGTTTATCAACAAAACATGAAAGTAAACCCTCCGTCGCCAAAAACCACAACTGTTTCTAAGAAAACTCTCTTCATGAACAAAGAGTTCCGGGATGGCACTGAAGCAGACATTCTTATAAACGAAGTGCCTGAAGGAGACATTTCGACTAGCCACCTTACGTATCACATTCTCCAGCAACCAATTAATCTATTCAACCATTATGGATGACATACCGCTTTTGAACACCTCAATGTGTATTTATCGATTTCCTTGTTCGTGAGGAGCTAAGTTAGTTGGCCGTACACAACGCCTATTCTACAAGAGTATTCTAGAACACTATTCAGCCTGGTTAGTCAGAGGAGAAAAGAAGAATACAAATAGTCCTATCCTCGAACATCTCATCAACTCTGAACACCCATCACCTTGACATGACTGCTTCATAATGCTACATAGAGTTTATCAATATCGTAGGAAAGGACTATGAATACACCATTTGTATACAGCTATTCTGGATCTCAAAACAAGACTTCTGTGTTCATAACCAGTACATACATTCACTCGCTTTACAGTAGCCAGAGTAAAACCCTTACTATTACCACTAATATACTTATTTTATTATCACTCTGTTATTATTTATTAATAATATTACATTTTCATACGGGTTTTTACAAGACTACTTTATCCTCTCTCCACTAGTTTTTGTCCACTTTATGCAACTATGTCGATTAGCCACACCTCACCTCTCAAATTCCGCCCCATTTTGCTAATCTCCAATCTGTCATTCCTTTCTAGACTACACATTACACAGTAACAGATTTTCGAGTTTAATAATATCTCACAAAGCATTTTGCATGTTTATTTATTATTAATTAATTACATAGTATAATAATTAACACAACGATAGAATAGAATGATAGGTTTGACCTTACTTTGAGAGTATTCCATGCCCAGGAAAGAATATGCTGATATTCCGGCAATAATTCAATTGAATTGAATAAATGCAAATCTGAATCACTATCTGAGGAGATTGGACAACTTGTAGACGTGGACAACGTTTTAATTAGATGTGATTCTGGTAATTGGTCAACTCCTTCACTTTTACACCAATAAGAGAAGATAAAAAGATAAACAATACATTAACTTATTTATAACAGTGTATTTTTGTGAATGCTGAATTTCATCCTCGGATAATATCAGTTGATGAAACCATTCGATGTGACGATGGAGAATGTATGCGAACTGAATATTAAGACTTGATAAACACCAACACAACTTTTACACTCATTTTTGTGATGAACAGTATTATAGTGATTCCAGAATCGTTTTAAGAATATTTCGTAGCTGTAAATGTGGATTAATTTGATCTTGTAACTGTAATCTGAACTTGTGGATGACTTGAGCGATTTACTCAAAAGAATATATGATAATGACATTGGAACATTCAGTAAATGAAATTCCAACTTAGAGGGCAATAATGTTCCAAAATTTTTTGTTACTTTTCTACAAATGAGTGTATAACAATCATAATCTCACCATTCGAGCAATCCACCTACGCCATAAAGTGAGTACAACAGGAGATTTCAAGAAACACCCTTTATGAAATGCTCTTCTTACCTATTAAAGACAACACTGCACATTGAAGTATACAAACCTCATCTAAGACTTCAATTACAACTTAAGTATTTTATCTATTGAGGACCAACCTACTTTCAACTGAAATCTTAATGTGATTGACTAAGATGTCCGTAAAGTGATTGAAATAACTGTCTCTCTATCTGTTTTCGACATAGAACTTTGCACAAATGTGCGGAAGTTCAAGTCGCCACATTCCGTGTAGCACGCGAAGCAAGAGAAGAAAGTACAAGAAAAGCATAATAGAAACAGTGAGCAGAGGTGTGAGACAAAGGAGTAATAAAGAAATACAAAACAGTTTCATTGAAGATCATAAGTCACAGGGAGTGGATGCATCTGCGCCACTGAGAACGATTTTGAGCCATGTCACCAATTGTTTCCAACCATAGATTTTTACCGTCCCGAGGACCCCAGCCTGGAAGTCTACACCTTTCTACGTGGCTTAGACCAACTGTTGTGGATTTCATTGACTGATGCCAAGTTTTTGTTTGACCGCCGCTAGCTTTTTTCCAGCCTGACCCTATATCCGCTAACATAGCTCGTCGAGGGAGGCGATGGCTTGGCATACGTAACACATGTCCTAACCATCTCAGTCTTTGTAGCTTCACGACTTCGTCGATTGATTTCCCCTGTTTACCTAGAACTCTACGCCTAACCTCCATGTTGCTCACCTTATTATGCCACTTTACACGGGAAATAGAACGCAGGCACCTATGATCAAAGACAGCTAGTCTTTTCATGTCTTCCACTCTCAGTGGCCAGGTCTCACAACCATAAAGGAGGACGGAGCGGACTGATGAGCAGTACACCCGCCCTTTGGTCGATAGTCGAACATCTCGTCTACGCCAGAGTCGGCGTAAACTAACAAATGCGAAACGAGCCCCTTGTATTCGTGCTGAGATTTCGTCAGAGATCAGCCCGTTGGGGCTGATGGTACTTCCCAAATAAGTGAAGCGGTCAACGTGCTCTACCACTTCACTTCCTATTTTTAAACTAGGCGTCGATGTAGTCCAGTCCTGTAACATCATCTTGCATTTGGCGGGAGCGAATCGCATGCCAAACATTCGTAGATTGCGGCTCAAGGTGTTTAGAAGACTCTGCATTTCGTCAGCGTCTTCGCCTAGAAGGACTATATCGTCTGCATATTCCAAGTCAACGAGATTATTCCCCGGTAGCAAGTCAATCCCTGAGTCGCTGAAGTCACCTAGGGTTAAGTCCATTAACACATCTATGATGAAGTTGAATAGAAAAGGAGATAATGGGCATCCTTGACGGACACCACTGGTCGTCATCAGTTCAGATGACAGCTCGCCGTAAGCCCTCACCTGGCTGTATGAGTACGAGTAGAGTGCCTTAATCAGTGCAATATATTTTCTTGGAATTCCCTTTACAGCCAAGCATCTCCAGAGAACTTCCCGATCGACAGAGTCGAATGCTGCCTTTAGGTCAAGAAATATAATGACTGTTGGACGCCGGTAGGAATGCCTATGTTCTAGAATCTGTCGGAGGGTGAAGATATGATCAATACACCCTCTTCCTGGTCTAAAGCCTGCCTGGCTCTCTCGTGTTTGTGCTTCCCGAGCACCACTCAGTCTACGCATGATTATTGAGCCTAAGACTTTAGATACTATATTAGTCAAGCTAATCCCTCTGTGATTATCACAGGAAGACTTGTCTCCCTTCTTGTATATGGGGATAATCAGTGACTTACACCAACCCGATGGGACTTCTTCTGATTCCCAGACGCTGCCTAGTACCTCAGTTAATCCGGACAGTAAGCTGTCTCCACCGTACTTAAATACCTCTGGAGTCATTCCATCAGGTCCCGCTGCTTTGCCTAGTTTCAGATTGGTGACAGCTTTAGTAACCTCAGTTAGTGACGGAGGACCTGTGTTTATATCCCATTCAGGGAGGTGTTGGATGCTCGGAAGGTTGAGCGTGGCTGTGGGCAAATTAAACTGCTCCTCATAATGCTCTTTCCAACGATCCAGTCGTCTATCCTGGGAGCTAATTATAGTGCCATTTTTTTCCGAGATTGTCTCACTGATGATTTGTCTTCTCCCACCCGTTTCCCTGATGAGTCCAAAGAGTTGCCTGGTGTTGCCTATCCTCGAAGCTTTCTCCATCTCTTTGGCTTTTGTCGCCCACCACTGTTCACGGTCCTTGCGGAGACTTTTCGTAAGTTTCCTCTTGTGCAGCTTTCGCTCCTCATTGAATTCGGAGCTCGCCGGAATAAGTCTTCTAGCATCTATCAGTTCGGATGAGGCGGTGGAGATCCAGTGGTTTTTACTCACCTTTGGGTTTACCTTATTCACAGCTTTTACAGCTGTATCTATGGCTGCCTGGATATTTTTCCAAGCTTCTTCAGGGTGAGCACAGCTGTCGAACACAGATATGTGTTTAGCTAGTTCTTCCTCAAATACGGATTTAGTTTCCTGATCGAGCTGGGGACGTGATGGTTTTACCGCCAGCTGTTTCCTACGTCCGTTCAGTCGTAAGCACACCCGAGCGCGGACCAGTGCATGGTCGGTATCTACGCACGTGTTCCAGAAGGAGCGACAATCTCCTACCGACCCACGCCAACGATAGCTTATTGCTATGTGGTCTATTTGTGTCCAGCGTTGGTTTGATGAAGGGGGTCTCCAAGTCAAACAGTGTCTCTCCTTGTGTTTAAAGTTAGTGCTTACAAGAAACAAATGATTATCAGAGCAGAACTGTAGGAGACGGTCACCGTTGTCGGTTCGCTGGCACGGGACTCCATAGGTGCCACCGACATCCTTCTCAGATTGACACAATTTCCCTACTTGAGCGTTAAAGTCACCAGCTAGAACGACTATGTCTGAGCGTTTAGCCTTTCCCACCAAACTAGACAGCTTTTGGTAGAACTCATCCTTCGTTTCATCTGAACTGCAGTCAGTGGGGGCGTAGGCGGAGATTACGAAAAGGCATCGGCGAGTAGTGCAGTCCTTCCTCCTTCTTACTGATCCGTTCAGGCGGACAGCACACATTCGGCTATCTACCGGGATCCAGTCAAGCAATGTCTTTTCTGCCCTAGTACTCAAAGCTATCCCTACGCCAGCTAATCCTCGTGAACTAGCTGTGGCATCTCCTGACACCCTCAAGGTGAATTTTGCAGATTCAACCTGTTGGCCAGGTGGGGTTAGGTGAATAACCACACTTGGGTCTTGTATGCGTGTTTCTGAAACACAGCATACATCAATGGCTCGTGATGCCAGGGTCTTGGCTAGTGATGCTTGTTGTCCTATTTGGCAAAGTGTCCTAACATTAAGAGCTCCTATATGAAATTGGTGGCGCGGCTTTAAGAGGCTGTCTGTGGTGGTTTTTTGGCTTCCATCGTTTTTAGTGGACGCAGAGTGGAGAGGAAGTGGAGAGCTATCAAGTCGAGGAGTTGCATCAGTGGAAGGAAGGCAAGATGATAGAGATGAAGATGAAGACAAAGATGAGTGAGTAATAGAGAGGTTTCGTGTGCATTTCGGATTGTGAGGGCGATTGTTACTTCCCGGCTGCCCACACCGTGGAAGTTGGTTGCGTGACCGCAGAGCCCAGGGGACAACTGCTTGAGGCCGGTCACACGCGGCCTGTTTTTGTTCGTTCTTTTTTGTTTGGTGTGTCTCAGTAGCATATTTATCACTCCTGCCCTGTGACACGGCAGCAGGAAGCGCGGTCGTTGTTAATCCGGGCCACGGCCGATCCGGCATGAAATTTTGTGATTTTGTATTGGACATGATGTTGGATTGGGTAGCTGCTTTTTGTTTAACCGCTATCCAAACAACCTGCCTGGCATGGTAGTACCTCAAGAGACATAAGTCTCAGCCAGTATAGCTTGAATAGATCATTGCGGTGTTCAAGCCCGACCACCACGTCAAGGTAGCAGCTTTCGGTCGGGTTGAAATAACAGGATATACTCAATTTTTAATGGAAGGATGAATAACTAAATATTACGTTGTTTTGCTTAATTCTTACCCGATTGATAACTGACTTCGTCTAGCTAGTGTTATAGTGGTCAATATTGCTTTGCCTAATTCTTGGAATGATGAAGCACCTGGAAAAGTGTATGAAAAAGATAGAAGATGGTATCAACAAAAAATGGCAATACATTCTTTGAAACCACAAATCTGTTAGGAGTCTCTCAATGAAAAATACATAAAATTATGCGTGAAAAATATTCTGTGCTGACATTTAACGTACTAGGCACTCGCAGCTCAAACTTACTTTCAGCTACAAAGTGCAAAAATAGACAAGAGAAAAAGTTGAGTTCAACGTACATCGCACTGAATAAAGAGGTGAAGAGTACTAGGAAAAACAAAAGAAAATTCCATGACACACTGACACCTGAAGCAGAACCTTTAAGCTGCAAGTAAAAGAGATCTCAAAACATTACATCAGAAAACCAGGTCTCTATCAGTGAAGAGATCAACCCAGATGATGAGACCGATAAAAGATGACCAAGGGGGCCTAATTACCAAGGAGAAACAAATCAAACAATGGGCTCATCACTTTAAAGGACTCCTGAATCAACCATCACCTGTAACTCGCCCGCCAGTTAACACCAATCACCAATTCTTCAACAAAAGCGGAAATCTTGAATGCAATCAAGCTACTGAAGCCCGTGAAGGAAGCAGGACCCCTCGACGCACTAAAAACACACCCAGACACTGCAGCAGATATGCTGACGTCATTATTGAAAAGCTTTGGAAAGAAGTAAAGGTGCTTACTGATTGGAAGAAAGGCTAACTTGTCAAGCTACCGAAGAAGGGCGAATTACACCTCAGTCTGTGAGAATTGGAGTGGAATAACGCTTTGCCCACGACAAGTAAAATACTATGTCGAATCATCCTGGAAAGAATAAAAGATGTACTGATCGCAGAAACTCTCCCCCAAGGAACAAGCTAGATTCAGAAAAGGCAAATCAAGTATTGATCAAACTGCAGCTCTACACATCATCATCGAACATAGCACAGAATGGCAGTCAAATGTCTGCCTCATTTCGATAGCGTTAACCCCCTGGAATGTCACGGAAACGATTTCCAACAGGCTGCTGCAAACTTTTGTCAACAGCTGACTTCTCAGGCTCCATACTGAAGATCAAATGGACAGAAAGAGTTAGCAATAAGCAACTCTGGCAACAAGCCAACCAAGAGCCGATCGCTCGACAAATATTTAGGAGAAAAAGGAGATGGATCGGGCATATGCTGAAGAGACCATCAAAAGACATCCCGCGCCAGACCAGTGGAACCCGAATGCGAAACGACAAGTGGGTCGTTTGTGCTGGGGTGACATGAAGGAGATCATGTGTGGAGGAGATGCCAGATTATGGTCAATCGTGTGACTAGCCAGCTGAAGAGCACAGCAGAAAATAGAACAAAGTGGAGATGTGTAGTTGAAGCGAATGTTCCAATCAAAACTCGAGGGAACACACACAAAACAAGGAAAAAGGGGGATAACAATACTACACCGGATAAACAAGGGTGCAACGAAGAGAATGGCTAAATTAAGACTGTCAGAATCTGAAAGACGACAAGGAGTGAATACATCCGCCTTACCATGAACAATTTTGAACTAGGGATACCATAAATATGCAACCAGTGACTTTTAATGTCTCATTGAAGAGGAGTTGGCTCGACATGTTAATCACATATCTCAGTCACCTAAGCCGGTGAAAATTCACAATTCTGCACCAAACATCATTATAACTTATCATGCCACTCCACTGAACGCAGACAATTGAATAAAGGCACACATACCTTCTACTCTCAGTGAATGTTTCTCACAGTATGGTAGAATGCAATTTATTCGTAGCTGGATGTCACGACTGCCTTAAACTTACTGCAAGTTAGTGAATATCAAATGAGTACTTTTACCGATGTAAATATACCATAGTATGAGTACTAGCTTACTAGTTTTCTCGCAGGTCCCAAGCCCGGGTAAAGAGGGAGGGTTGGGGCGTGGTGCTAGCAACTCCACCCGCGTAAAACAACCAAATCGCTACAGAAACTTCCACGAATAAATATTTAAAAAATTCTAAAAACATAAGCAATAGCCTTACTTTTCGCTGGAATCGGGGAAGTGAAATGACCCAAGATGGTGAAAGCCTTCGGGAAGCCAGCCACCCGATGTGCCTTCTTTCGATGAAATCAAAAGTAAGGATGAGTACCTGGAATGTTCGTACAATGTACGAAACTGGAAAGGCTGTCCAGATAGCCGCTGAAATGAGAAGGTACATAACAGAGGTGTTGGGAATCTGCGAAAGCAGATGGAACGGAACTGGAAAGTGCCAACTGAGACAATAATCTATTCCAGCCACCCAGAGGACGACCACGCGCACACCGAGGGAGTGGCCATCATGATATCACCAACGGCAGTCAAAGCTCTCATGCAGTGGGAACCAATCTCCTCCAGGATAATGACAGCCAGGTTCAACTCAAAAGGAAGGAAAGAAGCTTACAGTCATTCAATGTCAATGCTATGCGCCTACAAACGTCTCAGAACAAGAGAAGAAGGAGGCGTTCTACAGACAACCACAAACAGTAATGGACAACGTCCCAAATGGCGATATCGAAATCCTGATGGGCGACATGAATGCGAAGCTGGGAGGAATACAACACAGGAAGAGAACTCACCATGGGTCGAGAGGCCCTCGGTGAAATGAACGACAATGGTGAACTCTTCTCAGACTTCTGCGCCTTCAATGATTTGGTGATTGGTGGCAGTGTGTTCAAACACAAGGAAGTACACAAGACGACATGGATTTCACCAGATGGAAACACTAAAAACCAAATAGACTTCATCTCAATTTCAAGAAAGTGGAGACGGAGCCTACTGGACACAAGGTCAAGGAGAGGAGCAGATGTGGGTTCAGACCACCATCTAGTACAAGGGACTTTCAAGGTGAAACTAAAAGCCTTGAGGATAGCTGAGGACAGGCCACAATGCAAGTTCAACACTCAGAAACTGAAGGACACAACCACAAAAGACACTTTCACTGCAACTGTCAGAGCAAGGCAGGAAACACTACACCACATCACTGAAGAATCATGCGTGGAAGAACATTGGAAGTCTCTGAAGGCGATTCTCAACGAAACGTATTCAATGGTTCTAGGAAGAAAGAAGAGACAAGACAAGGAAAGCAGATGGAATACCCCCTGAAGCACTGAAAGCGGACCCAGAGACTACAGCAGACATGCTGACTCCACTATTACAAAAGGTCTGGAAGGAAGGAAAGGTGCCTACTGACTGGAGGAAAGGTTACCTCGTGAAACTACCAAAGAAGGAAGACTTCTGCCTCACTCTGCAAGAACTGGCGAGGAATCATGCTCCTGTCGACGCCAAGTAAAATCCTGATTCGCATCATCCTGGAGAGAATAAACGACGCACTGGATGCACAACTCCGACCAGAAAAAGCTGGATTCAGGAAAGTCAGGCAAATCATGTACTGACCAAATTGCAACTCTACACATCATCGAACAAAGTATGGAATGGAAATCTAACCTCTACCTCAACTTTATAGACTTTGAGAAGGCCTTCGACAGCGTTGATCGTGAAGTAATTTGGAAACTACTCGAGTACTACTGCGTACCCCAAATATTCATCAACCTTATTCAACAGCTGTACGACAACGGCACATGTCAAGTCATCCACAACGGAAGACTCAGCGAGGCGTTTGGAGTAAACACAGGAGTCAGACAAGGTTGCTTATTGTGTCTCACCAATGATATTCCTAATTCTGGTGGACTGGCTGGATTATGCGTCAGACAGTGGGAAACGAGAAGACAGGGATATCCTGGACCGACATGAAGAACCTAGAAGACCTGGATTTCGCGCGTGGTTGATTTATGTTTGATGTCACACAAAATCGAAGACTTAGAGGCAAGCAAAAACCGACAAACTGGTAGAAGAAGCAGCCGGCGAAGACAGGACTCCAAGTGAACGTAGACAAGATGGAGGTGATGAAAATAATCAACCAACAACAACAACATCCAGGGCCAATCACCATCAACGGGGGGATTTGAAAGAGGTTACTTCATTCATTCACTTATCTAGGGAGCACTATCTCAACTACAGGCAGTCGGAACGGACGAGGATGTCAAATCGAGCGAGAACTGGGAAGGCGAGAAACACATTCATCAACCTGAAACCAATCTGGAAATCTTCGTCACTCAGCATCAACAAAAAAATTCGGTCGGATTTTCAATACAAACGTCAAGTCAGCCAGTTCTTCTATACGGATCAGAAACTTGGCGGGTGGGTCACAAAGAATATTTACAACAGCCTGTTGCAGACCAGACCTTTATCAACAACTGTCTTCGCTGGCTCTATACTGAAGATCAGATGGCCGGGGCGGAAACAATCACCAACAAGAAACTATGGCTGTGAACAAACAAAGCAAGAACCAATCGCCCAAGAAATATGCAGGAGAAAGTGGAGATGGATGGGACACTCACTGAGGCTGGAGGCCGCTGGATGTTATCTCGCACGCGTCAGGCCATTGCTCGAGTGGAACCAGGCCGGAAGGGAAGTGGCGAGTGGGTCGTCAGTGCAAGGGTGACATGGAGGAGATCATGTGAAGAGGAGTTGAAAGAATATGGATTAACATGGATGCAGGTGAAAAGTATAGCAGAAGACAGAAGAAAATGGAGACGTGCAGTTGAAGCCACTAGGAACCCTAGGGAGCAATAATAATAATAATGAGTACATAGCTTTGTTAAGAGTTTCACTATTTGCCAGTGAGCTATTTGGGTATGGTTGTAATGTCCCTTATGGAAGCGCCGCATGACGCTGGTTCAGCCTCTTCGAGGTTGTGGATTCGCGTGACGAGTGACAACAATCATGAAAAGTGAATCTATGATGCTCTTAAAGATTGCCACCAACCGCCTAATACCATACAATTTGCTTATTTTCAATCATTTTTGACAAAACCAACCATTATTCTGACGAAACATTCATATCTATACAACAACTACAAGAAAATAATGCTCACAATGTTTATGTGTCTGCAAGTATTCAAACTTAAAAAGGTGTATGGATAACATATTTAGGGTATTCAGGTGAGGAGTCCTACAGCCATTTACAAACTCACTAAGTGCTGTTTTTTCACAGTTGTTTTTTGTTTTAAATTTACCATGAGAAAGAAATGTTTTCAATTTATAAGAAGATAATTTCCTTACTACTTATTGTTTTATGCTACTAATAAAATACGAACAACATATTTTTAATCGATTACCTTTAGAGAAATCAGTTATAAAGATATTATCTTCATTAAACTGACAAGTCTGACAACCCATTGAATAAAGGCATAGATTACACAACTGTAAGCATAAAACTGGTAACTCTGCACAACTAATCAATGCATACAATGCAGGTTCAACCAATTGATTAGGGACACAATTCTTTATATTTTTCGATAATTTCACTAAACAATTAGATAAAATTTGATCAACTGCTTGAAGGAAGCCTGTAACAGTAACAAAAGACAGAATGCTTAATAATAATAATAATAATAATAATAATAATAATGGGAAACATGTAGATCCAATTCTCCACTTATATACGTCGACGTGGAATTTCCCCGTAGTTTCCTCTGACAACCGAAATTATTCAGATCACAATAGATGCGATCTGTTTGATGCTATAAATGGCAGTCAAGAGAGCAAGCATTAATGCATGATGATTGATGTATACTACTGATTGATTGAAACGAGTAGTCGGATTGCACTCACATCAATCAGTAGTGCTTACTAGAGCTAGATCCAAGTGAAGTTACAAACTCACAGCCCGTTTCACTCTTTCAGAGCTGAGATCATCAGTCGTGCAATCAGTTTGACCCAGCTCAGAAAGCTGAGTTGGCAAATTTATAAATTAGTAATAATGAATAACTAACAACAGTACTAAAAACTTTCAGCTAGCAGATACGATGTGTGACGTAATACGTACGAATATTGTTTGTAATGGTGGATGGTTTACCACCCTTTCACTGACGAAACCTAAACTCTAACAATAACTGTCCTGTACACATCACAATGCTGCATGCCAAGTAATCCACAACGGGAAACTTACGGAAGCCTTCGAAGTGAGGACGGGAGTGAGGCAAGGCTGTCTACTATCACCAATGATCTTCCTGATTGCAATTGATTGGATAATGCGACAGACAACGGCAACCAACGAGGGAACAGGCATAAAATGGACTGACACAAAAGACTTGGAGGATCTGGATTTCGCCGATGATATATGTCTGATTTCCCACAAACTGGAAGATATGCAAATGAAAAGTAACAAGTTGGCAGAAGAAGCATCAAAGATAGGACTTCACGTGAACATAGATAAAACAGAGATGATGAAGATTCCTTGCCAACATCAACAGCAACAACAGACCACAATAAGCATAAATGGGAAGAACCTGAAAGAAACAACCTCCTTCACCTACCTGGGAAGCATCGTCTCAACTACAGGCGGAACTGACGAGGACATCAAAGCCAGAATCGTAAAAGCAAGACAAGCTTTCATTACTCTCAAATCTGTGTGGAGGTCAACAACAATCAGCATCAAAAATAAGATCCGGATTTTCAACTCCAATGTGAAGTCAGTGCTACTATACGGATCAGAGACTTGGCGAGTCATAAAGAGCATCTCAAACAAACTTCAAACCTTCATTAACAACTGTCTCCGCTCAATACTCAAGATCAGATGGCCAGAAAAGATCAGCAACAGGGATCTCTGGGAGCGAACCAATCAGGAACCGATAGTGAAACAAATAGGCAGAAAGAAATGGAGATGGATTGGCCATACGCTGAGGAAACCATCAAGTGACATCACTAGACAAGCCCTCGAGTGGAACCCGAAAGGGAGGCGGCGAGTTGGTCGTCAGTGCAAGGGTGACTTGGAGGAGGTCATGTGAAGAGGAGATGAAAGCATGTGGGCAGACCTGGAGCAGGGTGAAAAAGTTGTCAGAAAACCGAAGTCAATGGAGGTGCGCAGCTGAAGCCCTATGTTCCTCTAGGAACTAAAGGATACAATAATAATAATACACATCACAAGAAATTCTAAGTGAGAACAAGTGCAGAACACAGAATCTATAGAAATCTAGAGAAAACTACCTGTACAAAGTGTTGATAGACAGTAACCATCCAACAGACTTGGTCGAAAGGTGCATGCCAACAAAAATGAGAGCAATAAAGTTCATCCAAATCAACAAATCGAAGAAATCCTAGAAACCACAAACTGATTACTTTAATCAGTCAATATTACTATCAATGAAGGATCTTACTTCATTTAACATAAAGATACAGATTGCCACACTTTAAATCTGTACATGGAGAAGATTGTGTAACGAGGAGGGGAAAGTTTATAGGCTATCATGGAGATATATAAAAAGGACTGTACAAGACAGGACAGAATGGAGATGTGCTGCTGAAGCACCATGTTCTACTCGGAACCCAAGTGAATAACAGTAATAATAATAATAATAAATCTGAATGCAACTACTTATCGATGTAATTACTGTTAGACATTTTTATACTGAGATTAGGTTCTGTCTGCTAATGTGATAACTATAATTTTACCTTTTATTCCCCAAAGCAACAACTTTATTCACTTATGTTTTGCTTCTTCAGTGAGGTGAACCCGTCAAATGAATACGCCTTATTAGCTAGTACACTTCAGTCTCACACTTTTCCAGGTACCAAAGTCTGGACAACCGAGTAGCATTATTAGTTATCAACCAACAAGTTTTGCCCATAGGCTAACGCACAAACTTGTAAGGAATCACTTCACCATGTCAACCTGTATTTAGCAGTTTAATTTTTCCTGTGAAGCAGGATGTACAGTTCGCACACAGCCTTCAGTCTGTAAGCGTATTTCGCAGTAATGCCCAGCTTCACTAGGCTGAGAAAATGAATATTTAGTGACTCACTTCTCGAACAAAGTGTCAATTCTGGGTACTGGCCACCTACGAATCACTATGTCATTGTGCTGTGATCTATAGAGTTCCTTAATATTGCATCGTACGACTTCGAATACGCTATTCATACATAACACAACCACTGATGATTGTTTCATTGCTTACCTAGACCAGATTGGAACTGCACAATCCAAAGTAATTTATTACTAAACGGGGATAAGTCATCATTGTCACCGAGATGCTTGCTTCTTTCCTCATCTAGTTCTAAGAATCTTTTCAATTTATTCAAAATCCATGTACGCATATCTGAACCAAAGTATGACACATCCCACAAACCGCTAAAACAAAATGAAAAGAAAATAAACGAAAATATCTTAACTAACTACAAAAAAACGGATCAAATTAGCTGAATCAAAAAATTACCAGTGTTTTGAAATGATGATACGACCCAACAGATGTTATCTAATGGAAATCATAGAGGCAAAGAATCTTAGAAGCAGTTCAAAGCTGATGATAATGACAGACAGACATAATTCCAGTTGCCACAGTTCAAAAAATTGCACAAATAAGGAAACAGAAACACACTGATACTACACTACACAAGAGTAGGCGCGACGGTGAGATAAATGAAACAAAGGTTAGTTGAGAATTTTAGGACCTGAAGGATGACAAGGGGTGAATAAATGTACACTACCGGGAACAACTGTAAGGCGTACCACCAACACTGATATTAGCGTCTTGAAGACACCATTAATGTCTCAAACCAATAAACAATGACCTCCTGGTTAGTGTCTCGTTATGTTCCAACCATAAAAAGCCATTTCGTCACCTAATTCTGCCTCATCAGTAGCGAGGAGGACGATGCCTCGAAGGAAGTAACATATGCCTATGTAACCTTCACAATCTTTTTGATCGACTTTTTTTCATCACCAAACACTATGTCTAGCAATACAATCACATATTATGTTCTTCCCCTCAACAAGGACAAATGAATAAAGGCACACAGACCTGTTTCTACACGCCATGTTTTGCAGTCGTACAACAGAATAACGAGAACTGTTGCAAAGTACGGGCACTCGTTGATAGGTAGTCAGATATGAAGAGTGGGGTGCACATGATGCAAGTTGACGTAAGCAAAAAGACCTTCCGTGTCTGCGCCGAAACAACGTCAGCAACCAGTTCATTTAGAGAGATTCAATTCATCGAACAGTTTTCTGTCTCATCGAGAAATTCTACTGTTATGGAAATCCATCAATAATGGTCGAGTGAATTCAGATCGTCAAGTCATTCGACGTTTGAGCTCAGGTAGATTATATATATATATATATATATATATATATATATATATATATATATATATATATATATATATATATATATATATGTATTACTTTAGAACAAAAGTTACACATATTTCAGCATCCCATATAGCTATTACTTGAGAATATGTATGGTCATTTATATATCTTGGTCACTGTACTACATGTATACAGATTTATCTAACAAAAACATACGTGTGCATATTTAGGTTATTCAGGGAAAATTACTGAAAGCCTACTCGACATACTAACAAGTAAGTTAGTAGTTGAATATTATATACAAAAATAAAGTTCAAAAGTGATTAAGATTACTTGATGCAGCAGAATGATAAAATGTTTGCACCAGCCGGGTATACTGAACACCATGGTGTATCACACCATGCACAGGCTAAATCAATCGCAGTAGGATAAAGAACCTCCATCAGTAGATCTTTCCTTTCAATCCAATGATCATATATGACAGAAATTATTTGCGGGTGTAGCTAGAATTAAAATTCAAAATGCATAAAGTAAAACTCTATTATTTCAAGGATTATAAAATTTAACGTTATCAATTAGGAATAGGTAGTGAGTAAGCCTTCCAAGTCGACTCTATTTAACCAAATTATTTATTTAACTGCACGATGTACTCGTACGAAGTCGGACGTGTGAAGGATATGGAATCCTACCGAATACATAGTGATCAAGTCTGTCTGTCTGTCTGTTTTCGACATAGAACTTTGCACATATGTGCACCAGTTCAAGTCGCCACACCCCATGTAGCACACAAAGCAAGAGAAGAAAGCAAAAACAAATGCATAACAGAGACACTAAACAGAAGTGTGAGACAAAGGAATAGTAATAACGAAGAACAATATAGTTTCATCGGGTATTATAAGTCACAAGGAGTGGACGTATCTGTGCCAGTCATTGAGAACGATTTTGAGCCATTTCACCAATTGTTTCCAGCCATTGGTTTTTACCGTCCCGAGGACCCCAACCAGGAAGTCTACACCTTTCTACGTGGCTGGCTTAAACTAAATGTTGTGGATTTCATTGACTGGTGGCATGTTTTTGTTTGACCTCCGCTAGCTTTTTTCCAGCCTGACCGTATATCAGCTAACATTGCTCGTCGCTGAAGGCGATGGCTAGGCATACGTAACACATGTCCTAACCATCTCAGTCTATGTAACTTCATAACCTCGTCGATTGATTTACCCTTCTTACCTAGCACTTTTAGCTGTCTTTGGTCATAGGTGATTAAGTAAGTGACACCATAATAAATGTTGTGATTCCACTGCAAGGAAGACATCGACGTGGGTTTTGTGCTTTATAACACTTATCAGGAAGATTTATCAGACAAGATTTTCGACCTCGGTTCTGAGCGATACATGTTTATATTTAGTTGAGAATACAAGTCTTCTTACGAATAAACAAGTCGCACTCTTTAAACTGAATAGCTTCTCACAGATAACAACAAATGTAATGTAAAACATTGCTGAGTCATTTCACTTAGTGAGTAATTAAAAATGTGACAGATGAAATCTAGCCAGAAATTTAATCAACATACCATGATATATTTAATGACATCTAGTAAGTGATTACCATTAAGTAATCTAATATTATAATGTGTTCAGACCATCCAAATACTCATCATAAAAAGTTTACTAATTTCATCAACATAATTTGACTTACATCTGAACTTAAATACAAAAGTCCATTAAACAAAATTCTTAATGAATTAACAGATTTGAAATCCCAATTATATTTCACTGAAATATTATCAATTAACGTTTGTAAATTATTCAGTGAATCTAAAATTGATAGAGGAAAACAAACAGGATTTCGATGGTAATATTAATAGATAGACGATCTCAATGTGATTTTCGCCATAAACCAACTAGAAAACCACCGAAAATCAGAGGAAAGCTGTTTCGTCCTACTTTGAAACTATACAACAATACCCACCCTCAAGCGATAGGGGGTGTTGAAACAAAAGTTAGAGGGCGGACACGAATGTCCACCGTACATGTGGATGTAAATGCACACATGACTGGGACACTTGCATGCATTTTGGACATGTTTTTGTGTGTATCACGTTCACCCTGAGATTTGGAATTAGTGGTGATCATCAACATCACCACAAAGAGGTTGACTTCTGTAAATTCGTAGCACCTGCTACCTCAGAAAAGTATCGAATCGAGCCAGACTCAAGAATAGATACCAACCTCTCAGATAGTACTGACGCACACCAACCACACCTACAAGTCACCATGAAAATTGTGAATGAAGCCTCTTGAAGCCTAGGAGAGCATCCCGCTAAAAACTACCGGTTTCCTGCTAGCTCCTTGCAACTTCTTGATGCCTTTAGGTATATTCCGGAGGAAGGTGAGCACAGAAACCTGCATAAGTCTGCTTCACATTAAATCAGGCGGTACTCACGTAAGCATCATTACGCCTGATGGTCAGGATACGCAATTGAGATGGAATTACAGTGATCTATGGTTAGTACTGGCCGACCATAAGGTACCCAGCCCAGATAACTTACTCCCAACTCTTCCTGAAAAGACCTCATTCACAAAAACAACCAGATTATTCAGGAAAATGACGACGTTCTATCAATGTGGAGTGACTTCTTTATCGTGTTTATCTTTGAAAGTGGTCTACGTAATATGGCAGTCAATGATACATTAATCTGTCACTAGTTGCGTGTAAAATACTGCCTGCTGCCTTGCTCAGCAGACTACGTAAGACTCATGAGAAAATGATTTGTGAATAGTACTCTGCGCTTCGTTCAGGTTGTGGATGAGTTGATCAGTCGTTCACCTTCGTCAGTTGCTATTACACCGTAACTCCAGGTCGATAGCTGTTTTATATGCTAATATTAGGACTGTCTTTTATTCATTGAACAGAAGAGCTCTCTGGAATTTCTGGTTACAGGAAAAGGTTCCTAAGAATTTTGTCACCATCCTTAAGGCCCAATACAGAAAAACCCCAGAGGGAGTAATGCATACAACTAAGGTTCTCAACCAACAGTGGGGTTGGAGAGGGCTGCCCAGTTGCACCACTTCTGTTTAACTTCGCCATCGACGATATTTTGGAGACTGTTCTGAAGGACATGTGTTCTAGTATTGCAGATCTCCTGTCTGAAAAGAAACCTTTCGGCCTCAAGTATGCAGATATCATCGTCTTGCTGTGTGATAACATACAGGCTACCCAAATCGCACTTAATAAGTCGACGGCTAGTGTCTGCAATTATAGTATGTACCTATTGGTTTGGGATGAAATTGCCTTCCAGATCAATAAAACCCCTAGAATTCAACACTTGCTTATTATTGTTATTTGATTATAAAACAATAAATCAATTTGTTTACAAACCCCTGCAGTTGACTGATGAACAAATATATTCTGAAAGTTTACGACAAACGGACTATGCACCAATGATGGCCAGTACAACCATTGAATTCTTAATGTTAATTGAAGTCTCTACAACATTCATCCAATCAGTAGAAAGCTCCTAGGCGTAATTTTTAATTACATTTACTTTGAAATCAAACACGATTTGATGTTAATATACTTTAAAAGTTAAACGTAATTTTTAATGTTAAATCAGTCAATTAAAATTATTATATTTGATACATTAAGCTAAAGGATAAAGGATATATATATATATAAAATCCTTTTTTCATATTATTTACCTTTACCGAAGTCAGCTCTCCATTTGCTGCATTTTTTATTCCATGGACCAGTAGACGATAAATTCAGTAGCCCCAATGCAGTTTCAATGACATCTAGTTGAAATTTTGCTCGTTGATAACTCATTCCTGGCCAAAATAAGTCTCTATTATGCACGCAGATACTTTCTTATTTGAAGTCTGATCATTTATTCCTCTGTGAGTTAAAGTCGAACGGCATAATGTACTGATAAATCGTATCAATTTGGCTAGAACAAAAAAATTTTTGAGAAAAAAATCCAACTTATTTATTCAACTCATTAGTATATTCAGTCTTAAACTGATTCACTCAATCCTTCATCACTCTGATAAGCAAAAGCTTTTGCGGATTAGAGAAAGTCATAATATAAAAGTACCATAGACAATTTCTGCGGTAGCTTGACAGAATTTTTAAGGTGTCTGAACTTGGCTGTAAGCTATACCTAATAGGTGACTGCTTGTAATCCTGACTGTCTAAGACTACATTCGCTAAAAATTGACAAACCAACTATGAATAACTGATTGACCAAGTTTCTTCAAAGAACCTTGAACAGCAGTACGGCAGTTCAAGTTGCCACACTCTTTGTAGCACACGAATATAGACAGAAGAGAGCAAAGGAAATCTAAATTGACTATAATAAACAGAAATGTGAGGAAGAAAGAACAGTAGCATGGAAAACATGACAGTTTAGTGGATATGATAATGCATTTGTGCCACTGAGAATGATTTTGAGACCCTAGTTATTTGGTTCTTAATATCCAGGAGACTCCAGCCAGGCAGTCTACACCTCATTATGTGACTAGCCCAAACCAAGTATCAACTTTGTAATATGATGTCAGGTTTTAGTTTGATATTCTTCAATTCTTTTCCAACATAATCTTATGTCGGCTAACATAGGAGACAGAACGCAGACATACGTAGTTGAGGACAGTTAAACTTCTCGTATCTAGCGCTTTCAATGGCCATGTCTCGCAGTCACAAAGTAGGATAAAGCGAACTGATGAGCAATACACACGTCCTTTGATTGATAGCCAGATATCATATCCACGTCAGAGATGACGTAATTTGGCAAATGATACACGGACCTTTTGTAACCATACTGATATTTCGTCAGCAATCAATGCACTATGGTTGATGCAACTTCCCAAATGAGTGAAATGGTCAACACGCCCTACTACTTCACTCCTCTTTGGGCTAGCATAATAATTATCAGCATACCCTGATGCCAATTAAAAGGATTCCAATCAGATATATGCGATTACCACATCGATGTTGGCATACATCAAAGAATCTCTAATGCTAACACTTGGTAATTCAACAACAAATGAAATAAAAAAGAAGCATCAGCTTGAGCTGTCACACTTTACTGTGAAGATGAAAATGCGAAACCAACAATATGATGAAAAAAGAATGTTGAAAATAACGACCTGACGTTAGTTAACAGAAGGGGAGGTCAAACCAACGACCCACGAATTACTAGCCTGCTTGATGGAAGTGCAGATAATGACCAATGGAAAATCTAGTGACTGAAGCTCTTAGAACTAAATTACACATTGATATATGACTTCCTTAGAATTGGTGTAATTTTTCAGTCACTTTAATCTGCATTGGCGAGCGTTTTACCGACAAACATTTGGAGTTAACACATGAATAACTCATAACGAAAGTCCTCCGAAAGTGTCAGTTAAAATATTTCGAAGACCACATTTTGTCAGGACATTCATGTAACAGGGCGAGGATGTATTGAATACTCTACACTAACTAAAAACTCTTTCACAATCAGAAGTCTCCTATAAAGAAATTTATTGTCCAGTCAAGTTTTAAAACAAAATCGCAAAAAGTTGAGTTGATAATCTCACTAACACGGCACAGATTATCGCTGGCCTAGGTTGCAAGAACCACACCTATTGTCTGAGGGCTGATGATATACAGCCCAGATACCCAAGCTGAAGTAAGCGGAACAGGACTCGAACACTAACCCTATCGGCTGAAAGTAGAATGTTGAGACCAATGAGCCCCATCTCCACTGAATAGAAGTGGTGTGAACATAAGATGCATGCGATTGCATAAAGACGTCTAAAAAGATGCTCTAGAACGAATCAACATCTATAGACTAAGACAAAATTTATGAGGTTGACTGTACTCCGTAGAGTAACCTAAATAATAAAATAAAACTATACAATCTAATGTGTGCGTGGGTGGCACAGCCGTAGATTGCTCGCCAACTGCTCATATCGTTCGGAGTTCGATCCCCGGTCGGCCCACTCCTTTATCCCACTAAACCAGTAACCAGACTGGTAAACAGGCAAGGTTGGGCATGGGGCTAGCGACTCCATCCCGTAAAAATAAACACCACCGCTACCGAGACTTTAAGTCCCTAGCTTAAATCCGTATATGTTCCACGGGGAACGTAAAGGAATAAAAAAATACAACTTAATATTATTTGATATTAATGCTGTTATTATTATTACTCAATTTATTTTTTTACTTACATAAATCTATTCATCAATAGCGAAATGAAAACAACTTACCTAAACAGAGTACAACTGCTGTATCATCACATGATTGATGCATAATAATATCTTCATTTATAAATTTACTTGGTAAATGATAAAATACTTGTGAATCTATTTCAGTATCTTGTAGGCAAAATACCCCTTTATTATTAGCATTATTATTGTTATTATTAACATTATATTTGTCTAAGAAGAGAGATAATTCTGTACCGTTGATGCATACAGATTTACATATCATGCGTATAGATTCAGTAAGGCTAGAAAAAATTTGTTCAAATTGTTTACGACAAGCTGGATTTGAACAATTATTAAAAGTAGTACAACAGTTTAAAAAGGCATCCATAAATATTTGTAAATTTGGTAAACTGGATAGCATGAATTCTACAGACTTTTTTTTATCGTTTCCTTGTTTACATTTTGTACGTATGAGTTTGCATAAAAATTTGGATATTCCACTTAATGCCAATACACGTATGCTCTCATCATGATGCATAGCACTTTTAGCCAAAACTGTAGGAACCTAAAACACAAAGATAAAATAAAATTATTCGGTTAATCTTGATAGATGAACAGTAAAGTGCATCGGTGGTTCAGTGGTAGAGTGTTCACCAATCACACATATACGTGTTCCATGGTTAGACTCCCCACCTCAATAACTCGGTGGTAAGAGCACGGTGAGGAAAGAGGACTGAGAGTGAGGTTAACAACCCTATCCCGTGAAAATAAAACCATTGTTAGTAAAGTAACAGAACTGTAGCTTTTAAAGCCGAATGTTGCACTCGGAAACTAAAGGAATAAATAATGATAATAATGTAATATATAATAGGAAGACATTAAACGGTTTCTCTACATTAGCTTTGTGTAATTAAACAAAAATATAATGCACACTACGCACACAGGAATTAGCACCAGGGTGTCACACGATGCATCAGACTTTATTCCTATAAATTTACTGTTCACAGGTTTCTCCAATTGATTCCCATGTGGTTCGAACTCTGTTCCATCTACTCCAACCTGCAAAGTGGCCATAAAAGACTTACCCTTGTATTTTATAATAAACCACTGCTTTCCAAGCCTCACTTCAGCTCATAATGACAGCCCAGAAATTGCGTGGACCCACCAAGAAAACTTGCTATACAGTCAACTCTTCTATAACACTACGTCGTCGACTAATTTTTGTCAGGCAAACGAAAGATAAGACCTCTAGTCTCACCAAAACAATACGGTTAATCTTTTGAAGAAGCCATTGATTTTACCGCTAATTAACTTAACAAACGACTAGTTCAGCAGCCACCTTGATAGCAAGAAAGAGAAAGTCCTTTTTCTAACCGACTGATTGTGATTATGTTACAGACAAGACAAATACATGCTTAAAAACAGTCTGTAGAGTGTTTTGCTACTCACCTAGTGAAAAATAAAAAGAATCAAAAAAAATAACTGAAATGAATCAACGACGTTTAATTAACACCATAAATCTCTCACCGTTTGCTTTAATGAAGAGGGCAAATCGAAATAATCTCTCAAATTATACAGTCTCAACCAGACAAACAATAAGTTCCTCTCAACCATTACGGAGGATTGACTAGACTTTGAATTGAGAGAAACGGAAGGGATATATTCAAGTAGTTGATCAATTAAAAGGTCACTTTTGCATAAACTTGCATAAGTTTGGCAGGCTGGTAAAGGCAAAATACTTTCTAACATTTCTGGACTAGGTAACAAAGTGAACTTGCTTGTTAAACAGCCATTGACAAAATTGTCCCAATTTGTGTTCTGTAAAAATATGTTGAAAGGTGGATTGAAAAATAAAATAAAGTTGACTACCTTTCAGCATGATAGTTATTTGAAATACAGAAACTTCGAACATCTACAGCATCAAGACACATGCTACTGTGATATTCCTTGGTTTTTCAATTAATACACATTACAAGAAAGAAAATATGTTTTTCGAATATTAGTTTTGTATAGGGAATTTTTGGTTGGATTAGTTGGAGGATTTCATCATGAGCTGACATTAGTGAGACAACGATTGGAAAATCTGGGAGTACTGGACAGCTGTTTCGTCCTAGTTTGGGGGAGTCTCAAACTAGGACGAAACAGCTGTCCAGTACTCCCAGATTTTCCAATCGTTGTCTCACTAATGTCAGCTCATGATGAAATCCTCCAACCAATCAAAGAAGATATGTGTATATTCATACCATACTATGATGAATACAGAAATAATGTAAGAATTAAGTGATGTAGAGTTCATCTAGTGAGGCTTCTTCTTGCAATATGAATGTTGATTGGTTAAAGTTAACTAAACAGATAACAAAAATTGAATATTTTATCGATAATCCTCAGGATTTTACACTTCAATATGAAGTTTTGCGTAAGCACATTCACACCCGTGACTTAAGACTTTCAATTTTCCTTCCTCTAATTTTGCCTGGTATGCTAAAGTGGACGATGGGATATTCGATACCACATTAGCAGTCAACAGGTACCATACCACACAGTTAACAATAAGAAGGTATCACAAATGATAGCCAATACACCTTATAAGTAATTTCAAATTCCTACTATCATCATCAGCTACACAGGTATATTCATACTTACCGATCCAAAGTCTTTCTTTTCTTTACTTTTCAATAGTTTTCTAGTTTATGGATGTTTTTCAACCATCGTGTTTTTAAAACAGCTACAATAACGACAGACGTATCGCTGTACTAGAAGTTAGAGTTCACTGAAAAGGAAGAGCCTTCTTAGTAATAATCAATAGTGTGTTCATAACATTATAGGTTACAGTCTTTATCAAACAGTATTGCAGTCAGCAACGATTACCTAACACGCTTTCTTATGGACCAAATCGTTTAATCTAACACGAAATATAATTTAGTCATGTCACTAAACTTCATGATCACACTGGAAACTGTTAGATTATACATGCTTATATAAGTAATACATATACAAAACAATCTATGCCTGTGCGTTGGTGGAACAGTGGTAGGATGCTCGCCAACCACGTATATCGTTCGGGGTTCGATCCCCGGCCGACGCACTCACCTTTACCTCGCTAAGTTAGTAATACGAGTAGTAAAGAGCGAAGGCTGGGTATGAGGCTAGCGACGCCATCCCGTAAAATTAAACACCACTACCGCCAAAACTTCAAAGCTCTAGTTTGAAGCCCTATTTTTCACTAGGAATACAAAGGAATAAAAAACAATTTATGCTTCAGAAATTTGCATTAAATAAACAATATACACTGATACCTGCACTGATTTATTGACCAGTAGAATATAACAACTGTTAGGTTCTTTTGATACTGGACAATCTAGGTTACCAGTTAACATAAACTGAACAATAGGCTTCACTACATTATGATCATAGAATGCCGGGGAGTTTTCCTTGATAAAATTGCTGTTCATTTCAAGGGAAAAAGTATACAAAAAATAAACTTACACAGACAAAGACTTACTGAAAGAGTAATAGACACAGACACTTATCAGTAGGAAATATCTTAATAAGGAAGATTCAGAAAGTGGATCAGTAGTTCTTAACATATACACTATTGATGTGCAGACAAATAAACACTATCATCAGTTATCATCAAAAGATGAAACTTGTGACCTGATATAATGACCAAAATGTAATTAATTAGGTATATACAAAACACTTAGTTAAAGAAGAAGTCAACCACTGGTAGTCAATGGACTAATTAAACCTAATTAAACATAAACCCATGCACTGAATCGTGAAACATGCATACAGAATGAATTTTAAAAAACGATGATCAGCTTTTTCAGAAAGATATGATTACAATATGGGTAATAAATGATACGTAAAATATAAGGAATACAAATACACATCAAGAAGTTTGTACAAAAAGTCTATCGGACTGAATAACTTTACTATTACATTACTGCAACTATCAAACTATGAGATGAAATGTTTGAATTGCTGATACACCTACAGATCTTACATAATTATATATATATATATATATATATATATATATATATATATATATATTGGACAAAAAGCAAAAACCATTAAGATAAAATTGTGAAAAATGCCCGTAAAAGTTTTAAAAACCATGCAACTGATTGGAACATAACTTGTAGAATTGTGTCCATACATAAATTTTAATTAAATTCTTTTACAACTTACCTGTATTCGAAGATCATATTTATCAAATCGCATGCTAAGTTAGATGTATAATTATATCCAGTAGCTAACAACAGTTTGTATACCAGAAAAGGGTTACAATTAAAAACCTTCAATTAAAGGAGGAAAATATAGGATATATGGTAAGATGTCAGCATCAAATATCTGGTGAAGTTTTAAAGAAATAACTACGATCATCTTGCCACAATACTTTTCAAAAATAATGCCAATTTGTGACCTGTTTTGTAAGACATGTTCGGGTTTAACTCAAGACAATCTATTTGCCGATTTGAAAAACCAACAGCTATAACTAATTTAATCTGAAATCAATGCAGTAACAAATACATCTGTCACACTTCTAATCTACACTGAATTATGATTGTTTCACGTCAAACTGATCTTCTGTAATCCGCCAACAACTGTAGAGGTTACCAGGATTAACGCCTAAAGAAAGCCTGAGGATAGCACAACCAATATTAGTGACCAAATATCTAAAAATCCTAGGTATGGGAAAGAAAAGAACAATCACTAACGAGCATTGCAAGTACAAGATCAACACAGTGATATATTGTCTTTGTGCAATACCACCTTTAAGTATGTTAAAGAAATTGGACTACTACCAGGAAATCTAATCAACTAATGAAATTGCTTTCAACGGCCTGATAGAAATCTACCTGAAATAAGGCAGGGGCGAGAAGTTAGTGCAGATAGGCTTTGTTCTAGACTTTGAAAAAGTCAGTAGAGGGATCCAATAGAGTAAAAGCATGCCTTAATTCAAGGATCAGGTATTTCAACTTTAAAAACAGGGAGGTAGAAATTTTGGATAAGTTGGCTACCGTCGGAAAATGCATTACTACAATTAAAATCAGTGTTTTGACATTAGGTTATGATCTTAGACTAGCAGTTTTCAGTCTCGCTCTTCTTCAGTCGACCCTCATGACATTTCAAGCCAATTCTACTCCACAGATCCACTGCTATACGCAAGTCTATACAAACAGGTGACAACAGTAAGTGGAACATTCGCTAGTCACCACACAAGGAAGTAGACCAGCCGAAATGGTTAACAGGTGAGAAAGCTGCTAAATACCAACAAACACTATGTAATTTCTGATCTTTTCAATTGCTATTGTAATTCAGGAAGCTACAACGAATTCTGAAATATGATTGAATCGGAATGGTTTCTCAAACACTTGATAGGCAATCTTGTGAAACAACACAATTTAAAAAAGGTCTTAGGACAGTATGGTGATTTACTTCAAGAATTCCTAAGCACTTTGCGGCAGGAATTAAACAGTGGAGACAGTTTTTCTGTGACTTGAAATGATCGACTGTATTCGCAGGATGATACATGATCGTAATATTCACTATGTTTCTATACAGTAAGGTGAATGTGGGATCCTTTCTGCTTAGCGTCAGAGTTGTGCGAAAGACATATTCGAAAAAAGTCGAGACAGATTTCTGTACAGCTCCGATTGCCGATCCAGAATGCAGCCAAACACCTTTGAAAACAGTCTGTGCTTGTTGTACTATGTATTCGTCGAACAGCTAAATAACAAACAAAAGATCTTCTACAATAATGCTGGAATGAAAAACAAATGAAAATTTATGAATTATAAGAGTTACAGATCCCAATGTGGTCAAATTTTTAAAGATATCACCTATGAAAACTAAATTTAGTCGAACAGACATATCCCGACCGAAAGCTGCTACCTTAACGTGGTGGTCGGGCTTGAACACCGCAATGACCTAATCAAGCTATACTGGCTACGACTTATGTCTCTTGAGGTCCCACACTGTCAGAAAGGTTGTCTGGATAGCAAACAAATTCACAAAATATCATGCCGGATCGGTAGGGGCCCGGATTAACAACGACCGAACCTCCTGCTGCCGTGTCACAGGGCAGGAGTGATATATATGCTACTGAGACACACCAAACGAAAAAGAACAGACAAAAACAGACCGCGTGTGACCGGCCTCAAGCAGTTGTCCCTTGGGCTCTGTGGTGACGCAACCAACTTCCACAGTGTGGGCAGCCGGGAAGTGACAATCGCCCTCACAATCCGAAATGCACACGAAACCTCTCTATTACTCACTCATCTTTGTCTTCATCTTCATCTCTATTATCTTGCCTTCCTTCCACTGATGCAACTCCTCGACTTGATAGCTCTCCACTTCCTCTTCACTCTGCGTCCACTAAAAACGACGGAAGCCAAAAATCCACCACAAATAGTCTCCTAAAGCCACGCCACCAATTTCATATAGGAGCATTTAATGTTAGGACACTTGGCCAAATAGGACAACAAGCATCACTAGCCAAGACTCTGGCGTCCCGAGCCATTGATGTATGCTGTGTTTCAGAAACACGCAAACAGGACCCAAGTGTGGTTATTCACCTAACCCCACCTGGCCAACAGGATGAATCTGCAAAATTCACCCTGAGGGTGTCAGGAGATGCCACAGCTAGTTCACGAGGATTAGCTGGTGTAGAGATAGCTTTGAGTACTAGGGTAGAAAAGACATTACTTGACTGGATCCCCGTAGATAGCCGAATGTGTGCTGTCCGTCTGAACGGATCAGTAAAAAGGAGAAAGGACTGCACTACTCGCCGATGCCTTTTCGTAATCTCCGCCTACGCCCCCACTGACTGCAGTTCAGATGAAACGAAGGATGAGTTCTACCAAAAGCTGTCTAGTTTGGTGAGAAAGGCTAAACGCTCGGACATAGTCGTTCTAGCTGGTGACTTTAACGCTCAAGTAGGGAAATTGTGTCAATCTGAGAAGGATGTCGGTGGCACCTATGGAGTTCCGTGCCAGCGAACCGACAACGGTGACCGTCTCCTACAGTTCTGTTCTGATAATCATTTGTTTCTTGCAAGCACTAACTTCAAACACAAGGAGAGACACTGTTTGACTTGGAGACCCCCTTCGTCAAACCAACGCTGGACACAAATAGACCACATAGCAATGATCTATCGTTGGAGTGGATCGGTAGGAGATTGTCGCTCCTTCTGGAACACGTGCGTAGATACCGACCATGCACTGGTCCGCGCTCGGGTGTGCTTAGGACTAAACGGACGTAGGAAACAGCTGGCGGCAAACCTATCACGTCCCCAGCTCGATCAGGAAACTAAATCCCAATTTGAGGAAGAACTAGCTAAACACATATTTGAGTTCGACAGCTGTGCTCACCCTGAAGAAGCTTGGAAGAATATTCAGTCAGCCATAGATACAGCTGTAAAACCTGTGAATAAGGTAAATCCAAAGGTGAGTAGAAACCACTAGATCTCCACCACCTCATCCGAACTGATAGATGCTAGAAGACTTATTCCGGCGAGCTCCGAATTCAATGAGGAGCGAAAGCTGCACAAAAGGAAACTTACGAAAAGTCTCTGCAAGGACCGTGAACAGTGGTGGGTGACAAAGGCGAAAGAGATGGAAAAAGCATCGGCGATGGGCAACACTAGGCAACTATTTAGACTCATCAGGGAAACGGGTGGGAGAAGGAAAATCATAAGTGAGACCATTTCTGAGAAAAACGGCTCCTCAATTAGCTCTCAGGATAGACGCCTTGAACGCTGGAAAGAACACTTTGAGGAACAATTTAACTTGCCTACAGCCACACTGAACCTCCCAACATCCAGCACACACCTGAATGGAAGTCCCATCGGGTTGGTGTAAATTACTGATTATCCCCATATACAACAAGGGGACAAGTCTTCCTGTGATAATCACAGAGGGATAAGCTTGACTAATATAGTATCTTAAGTCCTAGGTTCAATAATCATGCTTAGCCTAAGTGGTGGTCGGGAGGCACAAACACGAGAGAGCCAGGCAGGCTTTAGACCAGGAAGAGGGTGTATTGATCATATCTTCACTCCCCGACAGATTCTAGAACATAGACACACTTTTCGGCGTCCAACAATTGCCATATTTCTTGACTTGAAGGCGGCCTTCGACACCGTGGATCGAAAGGTACTATGGCAATGTCTGACTGTGAAGGGAGTGCCAAGAAAGTACATTGCACTAATCAAGGCACTCTATTCAAACTCACGTAGTCGTGTAAGGGCTTATGGGGAATTGTCATCTGAATTAGTAACAACCAGTGGTGTCCGACAGGGATGTCCACTCTCCCCATTCCTGTTTAACATCATCATAGATATGCTAATGGAAGTATCCTTAACTAAACGTAACGACTCAGGAATCGACTTGTTACCAGGGAATAGTCTTATGGACTTAGAATATGAAGATGACATAGTCCTGTTAGGGGAAGATGCTGAAGAAATGCAGAGTCTTCTGAACACCTTGAGCAGCAATCTTCGTATGTTTGGCATGCGATTCGCCCCTGCAAAATGTAAGATGCTGCTACAGGACTGGACCACGTCAACCCCTAACTTAGTGATAGGGAGTGAAGTGATAGAACATGTTGACCACTTCACCTACTTGGGAAGTTGTATTAGCACCAACGGACTGATTGGCGATGAAATCTCAGCACGGATCCGAAAAGCTCGAGCTGCTTTCGCTGACTTACACCATCTCTGGCGTAGGCGTGACATCCGGCTGGCTATCAACCAAGGGACGTGTGTACTGCTCATCAGTTCCCTCCGTCCTTCTCTATGGCTCTGAAACATGGCCAATATGAGTTGAAGACATGAAAATGTTGACTGCTATCGATCATAGATGTCCGCGATCTCTTTCTCACGTTAGGTGGTTTAATAAGGTAAGTAATGTTGACGTTAGGCGTTGAGTGTTGGGCAAAGGGGGAAAATCAATCGACGAGGCTATAAAGTTACATAGATTGAGATGGCTAGGTCACGTGCTGCGCAGGCCTAACCATCGCCTCCCCCGATGGGCATTACTAGCTGATATAGGTGCAGGTTGGAAAAGAGTAAGTGGTGGCCAAACAAAAACATGGCATCAATCCATGAAGTCCTTGACAGTTAAACTGAGTCAGGTAGGGAGGGAGATGCGGACTTCCGGGTTGGGGCCCTCGGGACTCTAGGAATCAATGGCTGGAGACAATATGTGACATGGCTTAAAATCGTTGTCAATGGCGCAGATGTATTCAGTCTCTGTAATCTTTCATATTTCTTTCTACCATTACCCATTCTGTTTCGCTCTTACACCTGTCAAACTCTATTGATTCTCTCCACTCATCTTCTTGTCTACCTTTGTGTGCTATTTGGAACATGGCAACTCGAACTGGTGCACTTCGGTGCCAAGTTCTATGTTGAATCCAGATAGACAGGCCCGACCGAAAGCTGCTACCTTGACGTGGTGGTCGGGCTTGAACACCGCAATGACCTAATCAAGCTATACTGGCTGAGACTTATGTCTCTTGAGGTTCTACCATGCCAGGCAGGTTGTTTGGATAGCGGTTAAACAAAAAGCAGCTACCCAATCCAACATCATGTCCAATACAAAATTACAAAATTTCATGCCGGATCGGCCGTGGCCCGGATTAACAACGACCGCGCTTCCTGCTGCCGTGTCACAGGGCAGGAGTGATAAATCTGCTACTGAGACACACCAAACAAAAAAGAACAAACAAAAACAGGCCGCGTGTGACCGGCCTCAAGCAGTTGTCCCCTGGGCTCTGCGGTCACGCAACCAACTTCCACGGTGTGGGCAGCCGGGAAGTAACAATCGCCCTCACAATCCGAAATGCACACGAAACCTCTCTATTACTCACTCATCTTTGTCTTCATCTTCATCTCTATCATCTTGCCTTCCTTCCACTGATGCAACTCCTCGACTTGATAGCTCTCCACTTCCTCTCCACTCTGCGTCCACTAAAAACGATGGAAGCCAAAAAACCACCACCGACAGCCTCTTAAAGCCGCGCCACCAATTTCATATAGGAGCTCTTAATGTTAGGACACTTTGCCAAATAGGACAACAAGCATCACTAGCCAAGACCCTGGCATCACGAGCCATTGATGTATGCTGTGTTTCAGAAACACGCATACAAGACCCAAGTGTGGTTATTCACCTAACCCCACCTGGCCAACAGGTTGAATCTGCAAAATTCACCCTGAGGGTGTCAGGAGATGCCACAGCTAGTTCACGAGGATTAGCTGGCGTAGGGATAGCTTTGAGTACTAGGGCAGAAAAGACATTGCTTGACTGGATCCCGGTAGATAGCCGAATGTGTGCTGTCCGCCTGAACGGATCAGTAAGAAGGAGGAAGGACTGCACTACTCGCCGATGCCTTTTCGTAATCTCCGCCTACGCCCCCACTGACTGCAGTTCAGATGAAACGAAGGATGAGTTCTACCAAAAGCTGTCTAGTTTGGTGAGAAAGGCTAAACGCTCAGACATAGTCGTTCTAGCTGGTGACTTTAACGCTCAAGTAGGGAAATTGTGTCAATCTGAGAAGGATGTCGGTGGCACCTATGGAGTTCCGTGCCAGCGAACCGACAACGGTGACCGTCTCCTACAGTTCTGCTCTGATAATCATTTGTTTCTTGTAAGCACTAACTTCAAACACAAGGAGAGACACTGTTTGACTTGGAGACCCCCTTCATCAAACCAACGCTGGACACAAATAGACCACATAGCAATAAGCTATCGTTGGCGTGGGTCGGTAGGAGATTGTCGCTCCTTCTGGAACACGTGCGTAGATACCGACCATGCACTGGTCCGCGCTCGGGTGTGCTTACGACTGAACGGACGTAGGAAACAGCTGGCGGTAAAACCATCACGTCCCCAGCTCGATCAGGAAACTAAATCCGTATTTGAGGAAGAACTAGCTAAACACATATCTGTGTTCGACAGCTGTGCTCACCCTGAAGAAGCTTGGAAAAATATCCAGGCAGCCATAGATACAGCTGTAAAAGCTGTGAATAAGGTAAACCCAAAGGTGAGTAAAAACCACTGGATCTCCACCGCCTCATCCGAACTGATAGATGCTAGAAGACTTATTCCGGCGAGCTCCGAATTCAATGAGGAGCGAAAGCTGCACAAGAGGAAACTTACGAAAAGTCTCCGCAAGGACCGTGAACAGTGGTGGGCGACAAAAGCCAAAGAGATGGAGAAAGCTTTGAGGATAGGCAACACCAGGCAACTCTTTGGACTCATCAGGGAAACGGGTGGGAGAAGACAAATCATTAGTGAGACAATCTCGGAAAAAAATGGCACTATAATTAGCTCACAGGATAGACGACTGGATCGTTGGAAAGAGCATTATGAGGAGCAGTTTAATTTGCCCACAGCCACGCTCAACCTTCCGAGCATCCAACACCTCCCTGAATGGGATATAGACACAGGTCCTCCGTCACTAACTGAGGTTACTAAAGCTGTCACCAATCTGAAACTAGGCAAAGCAGCGGGACCTGATGGAATGACTCCAGAGGTATTTAAGTACGGTGGAGACAGCTTACTGTCCGGATTAACTGAGGTACTAGGCAGCGTCTGGGAATCAGAAGAAGTCCCATCGGGTTGGTGTAAGTCACTGATTATCCCCATATACAAGAAGGGAGACAAGTCTTCCTGTGATAATCACAGAGGGATTAGCTTGACTAATATAGTATCTAAAGTCTTAGGCTCAATAATCATGCGTAGACTGAGTGGTGCTCGGGAAGCACAAACACGAGAGAGCCAGGCAGGCTTTAGACCAGGAAGAGGGTGTATTGATCATATCTTCACCCTCCGACAGATTCTAGAACATAGGCATTCCTACCGGCGTCCAACAGTCATTATATTTCTTGACCTAAAGGCAGCATTCGACTCTGTCGATCGGGAAGTTCTCTGGAGATGCTTGGCTGTAAAGGGAATTCCAAGAAAATATATTGCACTGATTAAGGCACTCTATTCGTACTCATACAGCCAGGTGAGGGCTTACGGCGAGCTGTCATCTGAACTGATGACGACCAGTGGTGTCCGTCAAGGATGCCCATTATCTCCTTTTCTATTCAACTTCATCATAGATGTGTTAATGGACTTAACCCTAGGTGACTTCAGCGACTCAGGGATTGACTTGCTACCGGGAATAATCTCGTTGACTTGGAATATGCAGACGATATAGTCCTTCTAGGCGAAGACGCTGACGAAATGCAGAGTCTTCTAAACACCTTGAGCCGCAATCTACGAATGTTTGGCATGCGATTCGCTCCCGCCAAATGCAAGATGATGTTACAGGACTGGACTACATCGACGCCTAGTTTAAAAATAGGAAGTGAAGTGGTAGAGCACGTTGACCGCTTCACTTATTTGGGAAGTACCATCAGCCCCAACGGGCTGATCTCTGACGAAATCTCAGCACGAATACAAGGGGCTCGTTTCGCATTTGTTAGTTTACGCCGACTCTGGCGTAGACGAGATGTTCGACTATCGACCAAAGGGCGGGTGTACTGCTCATCAGTCCGCTCCGTCCTCCTTTATGGTTGTGAGACCTGGCCACTGAGAGTGGAAGACATGAAAAGACTAGCTGTCTTTGATCATAGGTGCCTGCGTTCTATTTCCCGTGTAAAGTGGCATAATAAGGTGAGCAACATGGAGGTTAGGCGTAGAGTTCTAGGTAAACAGGGGAAATCAATCGACGAAGTCGTGAAGCTACAAAGACTGAGATGGTTAGGACATGTGTTACGTATGCCAAGCCATCGCCTCCCTCGACGAGCAATGTTAGCGGATATAGGGTCAGGCTGGAAAAAAGCTAGCGGCGGTCAAACAAAAACTTGGCATCAGTCAATGAAATCCACAACAGTTGGTCTAAGCCACGTAGGAAGGTGTAGACTTCCAGGCTGGGGTCCTCGGGACGGTAAAAATCTATGGTTGGAAACAATTGGTGACATGGCTCAAAATCGTTCTCAGTGGCGCAGATGCATCCACTCCCTGTGACTTATGATCTTCAATGAAACTGTTTTGTATTTCTTTATTACTCCTTTGTCTCACACCTCTGCTCACTGTTTCTATTATGCTTTTCTTGTACTTTCTTCTCTTGCTTCGCGTGCTACACGGAATGTGGCGACTTGAACTTCCGCACATTTGTGCAAAGTTCTATGTCGAAAACAGACAGATAGACAGGAGAACAGACATATGCTTTGAATATCATCTGAGATACTTCCATAGCGATCACTATTTGTAAACCATTAGGACTGGTCATAAAAAGCAATGGTCAGCCTATGAGGTGGCAACTCCGAAGGTTGGTTGCGTTGTATCAGCACTTTTCCATGAGTCACCACTCCTGGTGAGCTCAAGGTATGATCATATATGGTTCAAAATCGACAATTATTGAGGATAAGCTCCAATTTCCTGTTTTTATTCTCAATTTCTATAAGTAATATGAATTGATGACCGTCCATCTGAATATCACTAGGAAGTACGCTTTCCAATTTCTACTTTATTTGTTCGACAGCTACTTTGCATACCACACATACTTATTTTATTTTATGCGATACATCTCTTGCTGTTCACGATACAAGAAATATGTTTAAATAAAAATATATTCACGATATTATAATTTTAACCTCGTTATCTGATTCACTGAACTGCCGAATTCCCTTTTACACAAATATTCTTTTGTAGGACTTCCAAAATGAACACTTGTTATTGATCAGTGGTTTCAATGACCATCTAATTGCTATGATGAGTACATATCACCCAATGTCTGATCCTCAAACCACCCTTCAATACATGCTTGAAGAGTGCTTGAAAGTACTTAAAATGCTCAGTTTGAATAATTCACTTTGTTATGACAAAGTAACTCAATTAATCAGATAAATTAAATGTGTTGAAGACAGAAATTAATCTCACAATCTGATGAAAACCAAAAGAAACTAACACAGGTGAAAGGATATCAGATACCCACCGTTTAGTTAGTAAAACTCATGAGTCTCATTACATACACCAGAAAACACTTACCTATCTGCCCCAAAACACACTTATGGTTAAACATCGAAATGAATGACTTAAAATAAACGAAGGAGAAGTTCTCTTTGGAAATAAAAGTGCTACCTACTACTCTATCATAATTATTCTGGAAAGAAACAATCACCCTGATTACCAATTTAAATAAAGTACGGTCATACGCGTCTCTAAAATTTGTGCTCCTAGTAAAACGAATACATACCTTATTCCGGACTTTTGCTAAAACGAACGACCACCACTTATGTGCCAAGGCAACCGCCTGGAGTAAGGAATCAGATGAGCACGTTTTGAGACGATCCACGATAAAAGAACTTATAGGAAGACTGACACACACGAAGCTACATATCACTTCAGTTGACAAAAGGTATTCAAGAATACCAAACAAACAAACCAACTGAAGCTGGCCAAAATTAGTTGCTAAATGTCTCAAAATGTTAATAAAATTCAAGCTACCGTCAACTTTGTGGTTTTCGAAATGAAGTAAAGACAAAAATATCAGAATATCTGCTTGAGATTAGCTAACAAGCAATATACTTACCGTCAATAATCAGTGATAGTAGCTTCATTATATCTATATCGGGAAAACTCCGAACAACATGCTTAATAAGGTATTTGCCAAAATCTAACTTCAGCACAGATGGTTTCTAACAAATAAAACTTGTAGCAATCAAGATATGAACGACATACAAACTGGAGTAAGCATATTAGAAGCTCTTCAAAATCATGGATATCGCCATCACCTTTAATCATGACATTTTTTAGTTCCTAAAAAAACTTAACAGTAAGTTAGCGACCACTTACATATACTCGTTTTACCTCAAGCATATCTAACGATGGCGCTCAATAACTGAACCAATATTCAAAACGTTTGCGAGTAATGCCGTCAACGCCCTAGTAAATTCTAATTCGCGGGAAACCCTAAAGTGACAAAGGCCGTTAAATCATGCGGTCGTAAATTCATGATTCGAGGTTTTTTAGGCTTGACATATTTATCACAGCCTGTTAAAATTTCGCTTAGAATTTTTTGGTCAATAATTTTTAATAAGACTGTGTTATACGTTATCTGGGTTGATGGGAATTCCCATTTTCCGGTTGGTTATGTTGGTGTCCGCGTCGTGTGATCAGACTGCGACATACTCATGGCATATTGGTTGCAACGATTAAACCGTATCAAAATGTCGGTGCAATGAGGAAGATAGGATAGTTAGAGGGAAATGCCACATACAAAAATCGTTTACTCCATGTAGAAGCTGCACCTTTCGGCATAGTATCATTCAATGAATACTTCTTGTCTCAGGATATCAATACAGACTATTTTGGATCGGATCCTAGTGGCTCAATGCTCTACGAGCTGGCGTTGTAACTAGAAGGTCCTGAATTCGAATCCCGGTGGGTGCGTACTGCTGAAGAGTCCCAAACTAGGATGAAACAGCTTCCCAGTACTCCCGGGTTTACCAATGGTTCTCTAAATAATATCAGCTCATGATGAAATCCTCCATGTAATAGTACACATTTGTCTATGGTTGATCATGTTGAGATGAGAGGAATGCATACTACTACTACTTCTTCATATTCATCGTCGGTTTTGTCATCCACAATGAAACGGACGTCCATGAATTCACGTGTCTTGTGCTATGACTATGCTAGTATCGGTCCAAATGAATAAACCAAAGATATTGGCCAGTTTAGGGAGGGTAAGCCAACTGTGTATGAGAGGGCAATTGTTAAGCTGACTTGCTCAAATAAAGGCCTTTCAAGTTACTATTTGAATGTTATTATGTTTGGTGTAAACTGCTATGTGCCTACGCTTGGTTGGTCAGATACGTCGTGTGTTTGTTAGTCATCTATATTCTACGACACAATGACATGTGCGTGTCACCGTTCAGAGTTGAGGATACAGATGATAGAAGGAGGTCAGCAAATGAACCCAACGACGATTTTCCAACCTAGAGCGTCAATCTTAGAAGGGTTGTAGGCGTACTGCTGTAAGTCCTACAGTTCTTCAAGGGTACTTCGTCAAGGCAGAATCCACAACATTTGATGTATTGATTATACATATGTTTGTGTTAAGTAATTGAGTGGGTTCCAATTAATGTAATTGTTGGTTAAGCTTGTTTGTGTCCGGACATTCTTCAACATACAATCGTCAACCTGAGAAGGGTTGCAGGCGTACTGGTGTAAGTCCTGCGATTTTGTGAAAGGAAATACATGGAGTCATGATCTGTGAGGTTTATGTGTACCTTTTGTATATACGTGTGGTGTTTTTTGGATTCATTGCGTTTACTTGTTGTTTTCGTACCTTGCTGTTATGCATAATTTTGTTAAATTTTTCGTTGTGCTTTCTTCTGAAGTTTTTTCGATTCTTCTACATCCGTGAATGAATTGATCGATGTAAAAGACATCGGATGGGTCGTATGCGCCGGGGAGGCTAGGCTAGTGCTGAGAACGACATGCACACGGAGATAATGATTAGCTGTGGTCCCACACGCCGGAAAGCAATAGTGTAGACTGAGGCTTGCATACGCCACAGTTACTAGAACTAGGTCAGAATGAGTGACAAGCGATTGCAGTGGTAATTGGTAGTGAATAGATAAGAGGTTGTGCGAAGAGTATCACGAGGTGCTGCGACGGTTACGTCGCCTTCTGCAAGAGTCATTCTAGCAGGTGGCGATTGTGTCGCAAGATGTCGAGAGGATGCCTTTAACTGGAAGGCGTAGGTCGTGATCGATGTGAGATTGTGCTGTGGGTATGCCCGTGGTGCGTCGGCTTTCTGTTTGTTTTCCATTTCAGGTTTGTCCGTGTGGCCCAAGTTCTCGAAATGGCATCCAAGTCAACGTGTATTGGTCGTGATGCAAAAAGGGATGGACCCCTTTTTGCCGGGGAGTGTCAATGTAGTTGAAGATTGAACGATCAATTCATGGTAGTTTGCTCAAACCCAACTCCTCTATATTTTTCGTGGGATTCATCAATCCATCGGTCATCGTCTCATCGCTCGCTGTTCAGGGGAAGATAGAAAACTATCAGAAGTATTATCGTGATTTACTGTTATAACATTTATTCTTAGACCTTGTGTGTAATAACCTTATTGTTGGTTACGTATTGGCGTAAGAATAAAGGATTCTCGAGTCGCCAATCGGTGTTCTGGTTTTCGCGCTTGTTATCACAAATTGTTGTTTCTGAAAGATTTCGAGGGACAGCGTGAGGTCCAGCGTAGCAAGAGGTGGACATTGACGGTTTATGAGACTTGTCTGACAGTGATATAGAAATCAAGTGTGATTTTATGTATCTCGGACTGATTGATCACAGCGTATGGGCCCTAAATGCATGCCACATGCAGGCATAATATTTGTGGTCTATGTATGCAAATCAAGGTGAACGCTTGTACAGTGCATTCATTATTTATTAAACTAACTCGTATGTAAGAACTACAGTTTGATCTGTTATACAACTGACAATGGAGTTGAAGATTGAACGATCAATTCTTGGTTGTTTGCTCAAAATCAAGTTCCTCGATTTTCGCGGAGGCATCAATACGACAGTCATCGTCTCATCGGTCGCTGTTCAGAAAGAAGAGTGAAACATCGTCAGAAGTAACATAACGATTTATTATTGTAATATTATTTTTCAGACCTTAGTTGTTTAGTTCGCTTATTCCTTTTATATGTTGGTGTAAGAATAAATTAAATCTCAAGCGGCAGATCAGTGTTTTGGGTTTTGCGTCCGTTATAACTAAGCGTTTCCGAGAAATCTTCTAAGAACAGCGTGGGCCCGAGCGTAGCGAGAGCTGGGCATTAACGGTTTATGAGACGTGACTGACAGTTTCTGACGATGGAAACAGATCTGGCGGATTGAAACAGTTGGTCAATGTTTGGATAGCCGCCGTTCATTTTTCCTGGTGCCGGTCAAGTCCTCTTTGAACAAGCAATATCTGGAACATTTTTGGAATTGGGTCAAGTTCAACAATGCCTGGGTCAAAGAAGGGACAGAGTGTCTTGGATGCAAACAGGAAAGTAAGTCATGGTGACTTGTCTGTTAATTGTAACGATGTGTCTGATGTTAAGCATGACATGGTTGATGTTACTGTTTCGCCGTTCAGGGATAATAGGAACATCAAACTACCTAAGTTTGAACCACGGTGTTTCGATGGAAACCCAGCTGATTATTTACAACTTGTAAAGGAGTTTGAGATCATGTTGAGTAGTTTTCTACCAAGTGATGAATTAAAGTTAATGTATTTGATGAGATATTGCACTGGAGATGCTGCAAGAGCTATACAGTGCTGTAAGTTTATGAAGCCAAAGGAGGGCTACGATGAGGCTATGAGCATATTACGCCAAAGGTTTGGAAGACCCTCGATGACTGCAGGGAAATTATTCGAGGCTGTTGAGGGTAATGGTGGTCAGTTACAGGATGACTCCCAGGCACTCACTGAGTTTTTAGATAATTTGCTAATTTACAAGAATGGAATGATTTCGATGAATCGAATGAGTGACCTCAACTCGAGTTTTATCCTAGAAGTAATAGCAAGACGCCTACCTACTTGACTGCAAAGGAAGTGGGTGAAGATAAGCTCCCGTATGGAGGATGAGTGTATCGAGCCAAGGTTTGATGATATCCTGAAACTGGTAAGTACTAGTGTTAATCAATCTATGAGCAAGTTTTCCAGTCTGTTAGATCTCACCCCTAGAATAGAGCAGTCTGAGGGTAAAACGTACTCATTGATGACGAATAAGCCTCAGAGAGGTGGATATCGAGAAGACTCCATGATGTCTAGTAATGCATATAGACCTAGTGAGTGTAACAGGTTTCGTAGTACATCCTCAACAGATAAGTTACAAGATGCAAGACAAACACGGCTTTGTTTTACACGTGTGCAAGAGGTGCATACAGAAGTGAACTGTGAACCAGTGAGCAAGTTCAGTGATAAGCTAAATGTAAACTCCAGGCCTGACTCCGAATTGTGTGACGATAACGTTGTTGTGAAGAAGTGTGTAGTTGCAACTGGTAAGCCGTTGCTGAATAGAGTGTCACAGAATAGAGTTACTGCTTCAGAGTGGAGTTCTGACTCCAAAAGTTTACAAGGTATTACTAGTCAGAGTGAAGTTATAAAACCTTTTATGATTTGCAAGGAGGACCCAAAATTGTCTACTTCCGTTACTGAAGAGTTTGAAAATGATGAACTTGACGGTAAAGTGAATATTTGTGATAATGATCATGATATTTCACAGTTGTCTTTGGTTGATCATAATGAGATGCGGGATATGCCTACTACTGCTAAGTTAAATAAAGGTTCTGTACAACTACAACGTGAAGTAGAATTGAACGCAGATGCAGTTCCAGAAGGTGTGCATACTAGTGAGATAGTCAGTGTAATTGATCAGCGTGTAGCCCACCTATCATCAGATGATAGTGCTAAACCCGAACTAGTAGTGAAAGACAGCAGTGGTGGTAATCTTGCAGTTGGACAACTATCTGAGAGCCGAACAAGAACAGCTTCTGATCCACCACTAAGTTCATCACCTTGTGTCACACAGTCATCGTTGGTGCTCTCATCCACAATGAAACAGACACCCATCAACTCAAGTGTCTTGTGCAATGACTATGGTAGTATCAGTTCGTTTGAAAGGACGAATATCAATGGTCAGTTTAGTGTGGATAAGCCAAGTGTAAAGGAGAGAGTTATTGTTAAATTGACTTGCACGAATAAAGGCATTTCCAGTTTCAAGTTACTATTTGAATGTTATTATCTTTGGTGTAAATTACTCTGTTTCTATACTTGGTTGATGAGATATGTCGTGTGTTTGTTGGTCATCTATATTCTACGATACAATGACATGGGCGTGTTGCCGTTCAGATTTGAGGATATAGCTGATAGAAGGAAGTTAGCAAATGAACTCTGCGACGATTTTCCAACCTAGGGCGTCAACCTGAGAAGGGTTGTAGGCGT